CAATCTGGTGATGATATGTGAAGCGCATACCGTTGAGACAGTTATGGCATGATAGCTCACACGCGTCTTGGATTCTTGGAATTCTTGAACTAGCGAGTTACGATCTCGGCTAGTAGTGCGATCTTAGTTGAGATGTTGATCTTGGATGAAAGAATATGTTGGTTCTTGATTCTTGATGAGTGGACACTTCAGTCCTTGTTTTTTTACGCCAACGAGTCATGACCTCGGTTAGATAAGTATCTCTAGCATGTTATTTACCTGACATGTTGGAAGATTAGACGATATAGGTTCCATCACCTCAGGTTGCCGAGGTAATAGAACCTAGGAGCAGTTGTGGAGACGTAATTTTAAGGTCGTGCCACGTGGTCGAGGTTCCACATGGGCAATCTATGATGCTGAGTTTTTTATGATATTGCCGATATATGATGCGGTAATGTCAGAATCTGAGATATTCGGATAGAAGACAAGAGTTCTAGATGACATCAAGCTACCTATTTGGATAGAGATGGGACTCCTGAGGAAGTTCATCTTAATCTAAATAGTGTGAGTTGTGATAGATATTATCCTTATGAAATAGAGTCTCATGAAGAAAGACTTCTAAGTTGGACATTGATCATTATAAAAGTGAGGTATCTCGTGGGTCTAAGGTATGCTTTTATTTGTGACGCTTTATTCTGTGAGCTTAGTACTTATTTGATATCTTTGAGTAGTCATAGCGATCCCGGTTTTCCTTTCATTGTTTAATTGTATTCCGGGCTCGGGTCTGTGGATGTTGGTTATTGTCTTATTCTTGTTCCCATCCATTATTCTTGTATTTGAGTTTTGGGTTGTGTTAGGCATGTTTGAAACAGGTTGGTTGTGTTTAGAAACAAAGAGTTGATGTCCAGATTTTGGCCTTCACGCTCGAGCGACATTTTTGACGCTCGAGTGGGCCCTTTGCTTTTGTTCATCCGCTCGAGCGGGGAGTTTGACGCTTGAACGGGATTATTCAACCCTCAATACTTTTCTCTGCAGGTCATCGGACACTCGAGCGTCCACTTTCATGCTTAAGCGGGGACCTTCTTCTGCAGAACTTATGGAAGTGTGCATCCGGCGCTTAAGCGGCGCTTTTGACGCTCTAGCGGGAGTCTGTGTCTGACGCTCGAGCGGACTGTGTTGTATATCATTCCGAATTGTAACTTTTTGAATCACTTTTTCGGGCCATTCTCTCTCTAGCTTTCCAAAACCCTATTTTGAGTGCTCCTCTCTCTAGAACTCTATCTCTCTCTCTACATTTTGATCTTGGTTTAGTGAGATCCAACCCTTGTGCCGTCATTAAAGTGTTAGAGCTTTCCAAGACCTCCATTTTGATCCGAAAATTTGTGGGTTTGGAGCATCTTCGAGTTTGTTCATCATCTCCTTTGGGTCTCTTCATTTGAGGTAGGGGTAACTACTCATATTTATGGTCTTTGACATAAACATGTGGTCATTTTGATTTAATATTGAAGTTGAGAAATTTTGGGTGTTAGGGTTTCAAAATGTATAAAGAGGGGTTTTGTTCTTTTGACCAATACATGTGTATTTTGAGTCTTAAAATAAGGTTATTGATGTTTATTGATGATATTTGGAAATTTGGGTCAATGTTGAGAAAATGGGGGAAAAATCCTAATTTATTGTGATGAATTAATTTGTATAATTAATTTGGGAAAGTTATGGAAATATGAAATTGAGTTGGAAATAATGAAATTGGGGAGGGGTTTTGTTCTTTTGACCAATACATGTGTATTTTGGGTCTTAAAATAAGGTTATTGATGTTTACTGATGATATTTGGAAATTTGGGTCAATGTTGAGAAAAGGGGGGAAAAATCCTAATTTATTGTGATGAATTAATTTGTATAATTAATTTGGGAAAGTTATGGAAATATGAAATTGAGTTGGAAATAATGAATTGGGAAATTATGAGGTTTAATGGTGGAGTTGGATTGATTGATCACTCACCTTTGAAATTGTAGATAATTTGTCTGTTTGACAATTTATTATCTGTTTAGAAATTATTTTGGGCTATTGATGGAGGATAGTCTTGATTGTTGTAGATACTGCATGATGATTAGGTGAATTAAAACTAATCAATTGAATATGTCATTGAATATGACAGATGGGATAACACATTGAATATGTGCTTGGCTTGATCATTGTATATGATAAGTGTTTAAATACATTGTATATGTATATTGTTTTGGAGGAGATAGGGGATGTACTCTACGGTTTGGAAGGAGATAGGGGATGTACTCCTAAAGTGGATTTGGGAGGAGATAGGGGATGGACTCCAGTGATAACTAAGTTGGCCGGAGTATCCAGGGTGAAAGTTTCGAAATCTTAATTGTGTTTGTATAACGTAGATAAATTGAAGTATTGAAATGATGATAATATAAGTTGTAGTCTCATTTGAAATTGAATTGTTGAAGTATTGTGATATGAATTGTAGTTTTATTATGAACTGTCTGGCTGAATAGGGAACCATATCTATGAATTGGTTTGGATAATGAAATGGAAAGAGATGTATGTTTGTTTATATGAGTTGAACATTTATCAAATGCCAATGTTTTAGTTATTGCTCATATTATGTTTAGTATATCTCTACTGGGCGTTGGCTTACCCTATATGGGACATCATTTTCAGGTTCAAGTGTGATGCCGCCTCCAAGGCCTTAGCTTGGATGGTTTTGGGAGTTGAAGACTCTTTTGGTTGTTTTTAATATTTTGGTGATACATGTAAATTCAAACCAAGGGCTTATTTGTGTAGAGAGTTAGAACTCTTCTTTTGTTATAACCAAGTGTTGACTTGGAAAGTTGTAAGTCTACATGGCATTTACTTTTGTTGTCAACATGTATTACTCTTTGTAAGAATACTCTGATGAATGGAAATATGTTTTATCAGATTGTCTATGTATATCATGAATGTTGGGTTTATATGTATTATTTTGAGGGTGTTATAGTAATTGTTTGACTGACTTGATCGTTGGAGTGTCCTTGAACGGACGAACCACTGCGATATTCTCACATTCTTGTTGGCAAGTGATTAGTTTAATCTACTCTACCACATACTCTCAAGCTAAATTTCTTATTTAATTGTGTGGTCAGAAATTAATATCCACAAATATAACTTGAGACATTTGGGGAGTTTCTTGCAAATGACACGTCGGAAGTCGGAAGTCACTGGTCCTTCGTTCGTTTTCTTGTCCTATTTCTCTCGTTTTCATTTGGGGCTCGCTTTTGGTCAAGGCCGGCCCTGGCCTAAGGTTAGTAAGGCCTGTGCCTTAAGTCCCAAAATTTTGGCCCCAAAATTGGGCCCCTAAATTTAGTAAAATGTTATAGATTTAATGTTTTTTTTTTAGGATCAATTTAAAGGGCTCCAAAATATTTTATTAGGTCCATGTATAATTTTGCCCATATTTATTTATAAGTGTAGTTTGACTCATATTTATTAGAATGAAAATATATATTTAAAAAAAAATATTTGAGCTCAAGAAAAACAATACATACAATATATGAGCCCTAATTTTTTTTTTGCCTTCTTTATCTATTAGATTTTAGTGAAATAAATAATTTTGTCCCAATTTTTTTCCCTAGATCTTTATCAATTTTAATTGAATAATTTTTTTGCCCTAATTTTGTTTCATTAAATAGTTCTGTTTATAATTTTAATGATTATATGTGCAAGTAAATTTGTTTGTGGTTACAAACAAAAAAAAAGTTGTGACTTATCGATTTATCCATAAATTTTTTTTTCAATGTAAGAGAGGATCCTATTTTTAAAATCAACAATGATTCATCCCCCCTTTTCCCCCATCCCCTTTGACCCCCTCTCTCTCTCATTGGTTACTTTTTCTTTTTCTTTTTTTTCCTGCTTCCCCAATCACCACCCGCCACGTGGCAAAGGGGGGTGAGGGGGTGACCCCCAAAAGAGGGTCCCAAGCATTATTCTTTTAAAATTCACCTTAGACCTCCTAAATCTCAAGACCGGCCCTGCTTTTGGTGTTAAGTCGTGTGATGGTAAGGCAACAAGAAAGAAGCTGAGAAGAAGCTGTTTTTCGCCTTAAAAAAAAAAGTAATCAGTGTATTTGATTTGAGTTTTTTGAATTAAGTTTTTTGAAAACTCAGTTTTTTGATTTTCTTGTTTTTTTTTTGTTTTTAGTGAATATTTTTAAAATTTTAAACATTTTTTTTTACTTTTTTAGATATACCTTACTTAGATGTATCTAAAAAGTAAAAAGTTTGTGGTTACAAACAAAAAAACAGTTGTGATTTATCGATTTATCCATGAATTTTTTTTTTCAATGTAAGAGAGGATCCTATTTTTAAAATTCACCTTAGACCTCCTAAATCTCAAGACCGGCCCTGCTTTTGGTGTTAAGTCGTGTGATGGTAAGGTAACAAGAAAGAAGCTGAGAAGAAGCTGTTTTTCGCCTTAAAAAAAAAGTAATCAGTGTATTTGATTTGAGTTTTTTGAATTAAGTTTTTTGAAAACTCAGTTTTTTGATTTTCTTGTTTTTTTTTTGTTTTTAGTGAATATTTTTAAAATTTTAAACATTTTTTTTTTTACTTTTTTAGATGCACATTACTTAGATGTATCTAAAAAGTAAAAACTTTGTGAAAAAATATTTTAAAAATTTAATAAATACATAAAAATATAAAAAAATGTACTGAATTCTCGTATTTTTTTTTTGTATTTTTTGTATTTAGTGAATTTTTAAAAGATTTTTTTACAAAATTTTTACTTTTTAAGTATATTTATGTTAGGTATGTCTAAAAAGTAAAAAAAATTACTTAAAATATTAAAAAAATTCAGTAAAAATAAAAAAATACAGAAAATAAGAAAGTAAAATTTTATAAAAAGTGTTTTTGAAAAAACACAACCAAGCAATAATAATAAAAAAATAAAACGTCGTCGTTTTTCGTAGCCCTACACAATCCCCTGCAGGGAGAGGATCTGAGTGTGGAATAGCCCGGGAGGGAGTGTTAATATTAATCACACCCAACTGTCGCTCACTGCTACCATTTTTGCAACAGCTCGACGAAGCTGCCCGGAGAGGCGGTGCTACTGGTGCGTGCGTGTGCCCTATCTATCTAGCCTCCCAATTTCCATCTAATTTACACAGGCACCCTCTGTGCTCTCTCTCTCTGCTCTCTATAAATACCAAAATACAAAATCCATTCTTGAATGTCGGTATCGCAGACTCTCACACTGCGTTTTTCTTCTTCGAGAGGCTTCTTCTTCTTGCCCTTCCTTATCTTCCCTCGCATCAACCACGCTCGTCCTCTCGGATTCCTCACCTCAACCTCTCATCATTCAACTATGTCGCTGAACCAGGTACGAATACGAATACGATACCATCCTCAAATGCCTACGTATTACCTAATATCTATCTATCTTTATTTATGTATGTATGTATGTATGTATGTATGTATGTATGTATGTATGTATTCGAAGAAGAAGAGAATGAACGAAGAATTCATTCAAATTCAATTGATTTTGTCTTGTATTGTAAATGTAACGCATTTGATGATCGATTCGCTGATGAATTTCTCGTTTGTTTGTATTTGTGATGATGATCATAGTTGTCAAATGGGAATTCGTATAGTGAATCGAAGTGAATCGAAATGATCTCGTATCAAATTTGTGAATAGTAAAGATTCAGTGACCTTCTATTCGTGAATCATAAAGATTCAGTTACTTTTTCTAAATTATTTAAGAAGTTAGCAAAAGTTAGATCACCGTCTTACTTTTTTTTTTTCTTTTTTATATATTTCATCTTTTATTTTAAAGCTTAAATATTTTAAAAGGTATAATTGACCTCATATATATAATATTTAATTTAATAAAATAGCAATAGATAATTCATAGAATAAATTCAATCCTAAACATTTTTAAAAGATATATTACGATTTTTTAAAGGGAAAAAAATGAGAAGAAAAGTTAAAAATGTGGTGGATATGACTGAATATGATTGGATCTTATAAAAAACTTCATGATTACCAAAACAACAGCAAATTATGTATATATGTTGGTTATTTTGGTATTAAATGCTATTAGAAATTGTATTATGTCATTTTCACTAAAAAGATAAAAAAAAAAAAAGAGTTAAAAATTTATCGGATATAATAATTTCAAAAATTGCATGAATTGTAAAAAGTGAATTGAATCGTGAATTGATTGTGAGTCATGTGATTCACTAGATTCATTTTCAAAATAGATTCACCTATAAATTCGTATTGATTTTGCAAAAATTGCGAATCGAATTGTGAATCGTAAGATTCTGATAATAGAGATGATGATTAGGAATGGCAACGGGGCGGGGCGGGGCCGGGGATGACCCTCCCCGTCCCCGATCCCCGAAGAATAAAAAGTCCCCGTCTTCGGCCCCGATCCCCGACGGGGAAGGCATCATCTCCCCCACCCCCGCCCCCTAACGGGGATCGGGTTTCCCCGACCCCGATAAATCCCCGACAGACTTGTTCACAAACACACACACACAGACCTGTTCACAACTAAAACATAGATCTGTTCAACCAAAAAAAAAATAATAATAATCTGTATATGTATATGGAATCAACAACAACAACATCATTTTCATCAAGAACATCATCAACGGCAACATCATAAAACGAAAAATAAAAATAAATAAAAATAAAAATAGAGACAGACAGACAGACGGTGGCGGAGGGAGGAGGAGGCCAGAGGGAGGATCTGAGTGGCGGAGAGAGGATCTGCTCAAATCTGAGTGGTGGAGGGAGGATCTGTTCAGATTTGCCATGGCAGAGGGAGGAGGATGCGAGAGGCGACGGTTCAGCGATGGCCTAGAGGAGGAGGAAGCGACGGAGGAGGGAGAGGAGGGGGCGGTGAGAGGCGACAGAGGAGGAGGAGGAGGAGGCGGTGAGCAGGAGCGACGACGCCATCACCGACTGCGTGCATAGAGAAGAAAGAGAGTGAGAGACTGCCATCGGCGTGCGTAGAGAAGAAAGAAAGAGAGAGAGAGAGTCAGTGAGTGAGAGAGAAGCTGTGTGAGTGAATTGAGTTTGTTTTTTTGGGTTTGGTTTATACATGGATATATAAAGGGTATGACAGCAATATCACTTCGGGGAAGATACGGGGACAGAGCCGGGGATGGGGCCAGGCCGGGTCCGGGGCTGTGAAGGTTATCCCCGTCCCCGGCCCGAAATACTTCGGGGATTTAATTTCAAATACCATCCCCGTCCCCACGGGGATATTTTTCGGGGAAAAATCATTCTGATCGGGGTTGGGGGGTCGGGTCCCCGTCGGGCCGGGTTCAAATTGCCATCCCCAATGATGATGATGATGATGATGATGATGATAATGATGAACAACGTTGTACTGAAGTGCGATGATGATTTTTATGTTTTGTGTGTGTGTGTATTGGCTCCAAATGATCGAGTTCAATGATTAGATTTTATATTATAAGCCTTAAAAACTTGGGAATTTTATGATACATTCACACCTCTTTTTTGGGTGGTCTTTGGTTTTGAGGTGTTTGTTATCGCTTATTACTTGGCTATGAATGTTGGTTATTAGTTATTATTATTTTGATTATGATGAAAAAGGAATGTGTGGCGTTTGGTTACAATTTTTCTTTTGTATTGGTTATGACTAAAAAGAATTTAGTTTCACAAATATCATAACTTGCATATCATATCCACTCTACCATATCATGACCCAAAAAAATATCATAGTATTTTCATTAGACAAGAACACGATTGTGTTGTTAAATTGTTGAGATGTTTGCAGTGTGAATGTTCCTCAATTTAGCTCATTCTTTTCATTGGAGTGCATTTGAACGTATCTGACCCTTTTTCTTCTTCTTCTTTTTCTTTTTTTTTTTTTTTTGTGTGCTATATATATATATATGTGTGTGTGTGTGTGTGTGTGTGTGTGTGTGTGTGTGTGTTTTGTCTTAACTCTTGGGGAACTAGAAACAATCCTTCTTAATTTCTGAATTTCTTTACATAAATTGTGTTATGATTTGATAATTGATTCCCTTGGTTTTTAGTTATTATTTGCAGTATTTGTTTCTTTTATCAGCATTACTTTTGGAGCATGAGATTGGTGATTTCATTCATTTTATTTTTTCGCTCTTGGTTTTGTCAATTAAAGATGCGATGATTTGAATTCCTTTTTATTTATTTATTATCGATATATATGACATAATCCTCTCCTCAGTCTCAGACAAGAGTTATTAGGTGTTTCTTTGTGAACTAATTTGGAACTGCAAATTTTCTATGCTTGCATTTTTTTCCTACAATTAGATACAATTATTTTAAGAACAACAAATGATGGCTCTAGAGTTGGATTCCTTGCACTCAGTTTTCTGGCTGGACTTGTGGTAATAATTATTGTATTCTTGAACCCAGAGAAAGGTTGGGTATACGGAACAAAGATGGAAAGAGAAGCCAAATTCCTCCCAGATGTCTCCAGGCAGGGAGAGTGTGTCAAAAGCAGCTGCTGATGTTGTGACTAACAGACTTGGTGCAATGAGTATTGCTGGAAACAGTGGGCAAATCCGTGTTGGATTGGGAAACCATGTGACTGTGGAAGGTCGGCGAGCTGTCTGGAAGCCCAAGTCATATGGAACAGTGAGTGGAGACACAATGGTAGAAGTTGAAAAAACACCTGCCGATCAAACGGCTGCAGCTGAAAAAAACAGTGCCGTTCTGAGCAAGTTGTTTAAGGGTAATCTATTGGAGACCTTCACTGTGGATAACTCCACTTACTCCCTTGCCCAAATAAGAGCCACCTTCTATCCCAAATTTGAAAATGAAAAGTCCGACCAAGAGGTAATTTATTTCCATTCTATTCTTTTTCATATGTGGTCCTATTGAGATTTGTCCTTACTGAGAATAACTTATTGATCTCTTTGACACTAAAGGTTACCAACCCTGATGTGAACCCTGTTTATTTTAATGCCTCTTCTTATTTACTGAACAAAGAAAGCAATATAGATGCATTAATTCCTTATGGTATTTCTATGCTACCTTGTATAATTACCTTGTATAATTTGTTCACAGTGGTGTTCTCTTTTACGATTTGAAATTCATCAATAGGCTGGAATTTGCAAACTCTGTGGTGCTAAAATTTGCTCTGTTCTGTTGCAGTAGGCATCCAAAAAACTGCATTATGACATGGGTTTTAATGGAAATTTGTACTATTTGGTTCACAGTTGAAATGGCTTTCCAACTGGGATCTTTTGCGTGAAAACTTTCAACTATATAGAAATATTATGATTATATAAACATTAATGGTCCAAAAAAAAAAAAGCTTATAAGAGCAACATAATGAAGATTTACAGTAATTCTTGACCCTTGGACCTTGGCTACTGATTTACATTGATTCAACAATAGGTTCTATCTCCGAGAGCACCGGTGGACCCAAAATGTTTGCAAAAGGGGGTCTAGATAAAATTATTTAGATTTTGAAAGGGCCAACCAAAGTAAGATTATATAGTTTTGGGGGCCAAAATGTGAATTTCGTTCATAAATACTCAAAAATGTATAGGAGCAAACGATATTTTTTATGAAGTTTGTAGCGCCAAGTTAAAATTATTTAGATTTTGGAGGGGCCAAGTAAGATTATATAGATTTTGGGGGCCAAAAAGTTAATTTCTTTTTATAAATACTCAAAATTATATAGAGACTAAGGAAATTTTTTTGTAAATATTTCTGAGGTCTTGAACTGAATTTGTATGGTAAGCTGGTAAATTGTCTCCTTCAGCAACAATCCAAACTGTAGGCACATGTTGCCATTGTTGTTCTTTGTTTATTTATAATTGAGCAGTGTTTTTTTTCTCCCTTTGGTTTGGTAGGTGCTTTGACTGCCTATCTATGTGATTATAAACCACTATACCAGAATGGATGAATCATTATCCAGCTCCTTTCCTTTTAGGAAGAGATAACTAGATTTTGCATGAGTTGGGGTTAGAAGTGCACAAGGCAGTGCACTATTTGTATAACAAATGTAAGAGGATACTTTAAATTGTTCTAGTAAAAAAGTATTAATCGTGAACACTTATCAAAAAAGTAAAGTATTAATGATAAACATATGTAGATTTGTTTTGTGGTCTGTCAAATTAGGTTGCTTTCCATGTTCAAGAGTATCTTTCTCATTCTGTCTTATCCTGGTGATTATTGTTAGAGACAAACATTTTCTAGCTGCATATTTTCTGTTTCTGATTTACTGTTAATCATTTATTGGATGATTATATCATTTGTTCCTTCTTAATGCTACATAGAATTTTAAGCTTCGCTTGGTTTTGTTTGTGTCAGGTTAGGACAAGGATGATAGAGATGGTGTCCAAAGGTCTAGCTACCTTGGAGGTTGGGGATATACACACCTTGAATTCTTACCTTTTTCATGATGAATTCCTCAATTTTGATTTTATGTATTATCAAATTATCTCTTAGTTTTTCACTAAATATATGCTTTTTTTTTTTTCTTTTTCGTTGAGTAGCTAATTATACTCGTCAATTCTTACCTAGGAGAACTTACTCTCTCTCTCTCTCTCTCTCTCTCTTAGATCATGTAGTTCATCAGGTTGATTGTTTCTGCTAGATACAATACTCTAATGAGCCATTGCTCTATTGATTGGTTGAGTTTTATTTTTTATTATTATTATGTTTTATTTTTTCAATTGGGGATGTCACTGCTTGCAGGTATCACTTAAACATTCAGGATCTCTTTTTATGTATGCTGGTCATGAGGGTGGAGCATATGCCAAAAATAGCTACGGGAATATGTAAGCTTGTGATTTGTGATTTTTTACCTATTCCTTTTTTATTTTATTTTTTTCCCTTTCTAACTTTTATATCTGAGCTTGCTTTCATGTATGTAATTAACAAATTTTTTTTTGAAGACCATGTCCAAGTATTTAACTATTACCAATGGGAGCATGCATTGTACCTTACTTTTCACTCATATGTTGTTATTTAAATGGTTGTTTTTATTTTTGATCCGCTTCTTCATACATATATCTCTCAGTTTCTAGTCGTAAGCATGTGATGCAAGCAAAAAGCTAAGATGGTAATAGTAGGTTCAGGGTAATTTTGCTTGGGTGCTAAGGCATACTCGGAGCCATAATTTAACATTAAACAAAAACCAATGGGTGGGGCACATTTATCTTCAAACCAGTGCTTGGGGTACATTTTAAATGTTTAGTAGGCTCCATCTACAAAAAAATGGCAATGATACGGTTTCTTGAGCTATTTCTGTTTGAACTCATAAATTTAGGGATAATAATAAAGATTAGGATATCCTATGTAATGCTATGGAAATTAGATGGTTGTGATTGGCATGATAACAAAATTAATGTAATATTAATGGAATCGTTTGTTGGCAGCGTCTTCTCTCTCTCTCTCTCCGTTAGTTTCTTCATGACGCTAATTAGCTTGTGGAATGTAGGATCATACAATCCTCAACCCCAATGTTACCAAACAATCTGAATTACAATATGATTGTACTCCTATCAGGATTGCACGAGATTGTTCACTCCTTTGTCTTTTTTTAGAGTTTTCTTTTCTTTTCAGTGGGTGCACATGGGATGTGTGTGCAAATGTATGTAGTTGAGGAATGAAGAAGATGAATATTGAAATTTTGAGCATCTGAATTAGTTTTTTCACCTAGGCAGTTTTGAAATTGTCATTGGTATTTTCAAAAAAGCAAAATATGTGACATTTACACCAGGTTTGGTGTAGGCTTTCATGATAGTATAGATAGTATATATATAAATATATCAATTTCTAGCTAGGAGCTCCATGTTCAAGGGTTTGCCCTATGTAGGATCCCCATTTTAACAATCATGCTAATTGGAGTTGATAAATAATTAATAGAGAACAATGCATGAAAGAGGGTGATTACTGGGAGAAATGTACTATATGACACCTTTTGTGTTGTTGCTGCAGTTGATGTAATTATTATTATTTGGATTTGACTTTTACCTTGCTGAATGTGTTACTTTTGGTGCAGATACACTGCTGTTGGTGTTTTTGTGCTTGGAAGGATGTTTCGTGAAGGATGGGGAACTGAAGCTAGCAAAAAGCAAGCGGAGTTCAATGACTTTCTTGAGGCATGTTTTCACATGAGAAATTTTCATTGATAGAATATGAAATAATATTCCTCAAGTTTCACAGCTAGTTTATTTACTCATAGCTTACTTGATGTGAGGCTTTGTGCATTCTTTTTTTGTTTACATAAGTGACTAGATCTCCTTATGTGATGGATCTGCTGCAATGATTTAATATTTTGTATAAAAAATGTCCCATGACGCATACCTGCATTAGTATGGAGAAGGTTAGGGTTGTTGAATTCAAGGGATGATTAGGATATTTTGAAAACATTTTAAGATAAGACTGGTTTTAAGAGGGCTATTTTGTCTTTGACAGACTGGAATGTGGTCTTTCAGTTCAGTTCATAGCTATCTCAGTTAATGTTTTCTCTTTTGCTTGCTATTCTTGGTATCAGTGCCATTGTATTATGTGGGTGATTACATTTCTAATTTTTTCTAATAATGTAGCCAACCCCACTTGGTTCGGACACAAGGGTTAGTTTGGTTTGAATTAATTATTGAATTTTTTCCAGAGCAACCGTATGTGCATATCAATGGAACTGGTAACTGCTGTTTTGGGAGACCATGGACAACGTCCTCGAGATGACTATGGTAGGGTATCCTTTTGTCTTTCTTCAATATAGAAATGTAGAGTATTTGCAAAGAAAGCTAGAAAATTTATAAATTGGTACCCACACACTGTTCTGCTACATCTTGTCTTTGTGATATTTGGATATGTTGCATGTTAGTTGCAGCATATCTAGTTTCTATTTTCTACCATGCTTCCTTTGTTTTCTCTTGTTTTTGCTTGTTGCAAAACGTTCCCAACTTTTTGCTCTTAATCTTTTGTACACGTTTCTTCTAAATTGGAGTGCTACTGAAGATACTGATTTCTTTGAGAAGCCTTTCTTCATTGATTTTATTTATTTATTTATTTGTGCTAAGCACTTGCTCTTCCTTATGAGGTAATAATTTTGTACTTTCTTATAAAAAATCCTTTTGGGTTATTTTTCCATATCATTTCATGTCATTGAGTTTCATTTCTTCAAGATGCACCTCCTTCCCTTAGCTGATATAGGGAAAAAGATTTATGGGTTCCTTATCATAAATGATGTTTCTCATCTAGCTTATGCCGTGTGCTTTGTTCTTGTGATGAACCTACCTGATAAATGGATATTTCATGTACCAGATTATCCTGATGATTTGTTCTGATATCTTTATACCCTTGTCCTGTCTTTTCTTGAGCAGTGGTTGTGACGGCAGTCACAGAATTGGGCAATGGAAAACCAAAGTTCTACTCAACTCCTGATATAATTGCCTTTTGTAGGAAATGGCGCCTACCGACAAATCATGTGTGGTTGTTCTCAACAAGGTGACAAAACAAAGGATTTAGGAGATATTCTAGTTAAATAGTGCATTAAATTGTTAAGAACTGATACTATATTCAGTTTGTGTTACACTCTACTTTCCTAGTGTATCTATGTCTACCCGATCTGACAAGGGGTAAGGGTGTGGAATATGCGTCTTGACACCTGTACTCAATTTAGACACTTAGATCTTATAATTTCATATAATTTTTGAAGAGTATGAAATTTAGGAGATATGTGTCTGACGCCTTTTGTAGCTTCTCAAACGAATGAAAGTTATAAATTTCATACTTTCCTGAAATCCCATTTAATTTGAAGTGCATTTCTAAATAATTTACAACTTCTTATTTAAGAGTATTATACAATATGCAATATATATAAATGTTTAAGACATGTTTTCATACCCATACCCAATTTTTAGATGCATATCCTAATATTTAGAATGATCTGATGCTTGGACACACTCACACCAGATACTTGTATAACAGAGTATATATGTTCATAAAATGAATTTGCAGATTTTGTGCTGCCATCATGGTTTTTATCATTATGCTTGCACCAAAGCTTCAATATTTCTTGTGATATGTACACCTTATAACTCTTTAGTGTTGGGTGGTCTCAATATTTCTGATTTAATAATTAGGAATTAGACGGATATTTTCTCAAGGATTTTGAATGTGAAACAATTTTGAACATTCCCAGATTTTTATTTTATTTGACAAATTGCAAAATATTTTATATTTATTCGATCTGGCTATTCCAAATTTTCTGATTCTAGACTCTGTTTGCAACATTTAAATGTGTTCCTTTGTATTTTATATTTGATTGCAATAACATGTACTGAGTTTAAACGGAACTAGACCTATGAACATGCAAGGCTAGTATCCCAGCACTTTAGACCTATGAACATGATCGCAGGACTTGAGAACTTACATCATGAACTTCATGTAATAGTTGAGAACTTTGTTGTTTCTCCTAAGTAGTGTATGGCTAGTTTTCTTCTATCATAAGTTTTTTTTTCTTTTCGGGGCGGTAGTAGGTCCAATATGCACCTTGATGTTTTCTTTTTTAATTTTTCTTCTTTGTGAAAAAAAAATTGTTGCCGGTTTTTAGCAGAAAATTTGATGTTAAGATCAAAGTTTATTGCTTCTGATTTATTTGTATTTTAACTCAAGGAAATCGGTGACATCATTTTTTGCTTCCTATGATGCACTCTGTGAGGAAGGAACAGCAACAACTGTATGTAAGGCTCTTGATGAAGTTGCCGATATATCCGTACCAGGTACAGTTTAAGTGCCAGCACATATTTTGTTCTGGTGGTGTTAATTTATTGTATTTTGCAATTTTAACAAGGGCAGTTCTCATCTTGGGGTTTGTGAATAAATGGGGTATGCACCTCCTGCACATGACAACATTACTACTCTTTCCTCCAGCAGTGTGCTATATAAGCTGAAATTTTTTGTAGCAGAAATAGTCATTGGAAATTTTTTGGATCATTAAACATTTGTAATATTCTAGTTATTCTTTGGGGAGAAAATTTACAATGACATAAATTCTAAATATGTTTCTTAAAATGTTCATAATATTTATATTGTAGATGTATGAACATATATATCTTTGTGACATATTCGTGGGAATTTTTTTTGGTAAGTACATTTGTGAGTGTGCCTGTCTATGTTGTTTCTGGGTGTTTGTAAATATTTTGAACTTTTACACCTCCGAAGAACAAATGTTTTGCAATACTGCTCCAGATCCTACTTCTTTGATATGGTGTTTCATTTAGGTAGGTTTTTTGAGCTCTGTGAGATATTAAAATAGCTAACTGGATATGCAGGATCAAAAGACCATATAAAGGTGCAGGGTGAAATCTTGGAGGGTCTTGTGGCTCGTATGGTAAGCCACGAGAGCTCGAAACATATGGAGCAGGTTTCAAGAGATTTCCCCCCACAATCTGTAGAGGGAGGTATGGTTATTCATCCTTTTTTTTTGTTATTTCTTTAAATACTTCTTTACATTAGGAAGAAGCTCCTCTGGTCTATTCTTTTCTTTTGCTGGCTGCATTCTTCTGAAGTTGTGCGACAAGCTTGTAGACTTTACTAAGTTACCCAGATTTCATTTTATATGAAAACTCATCCTTGCTCAAAGTACAATTCTGGTCGGGATGAGATATGATTACTGAATATAAAGCTTGGGGTTGTGGTTATTTTTTCTGTACATAGTTATGAGCAGTAACTTATCAAAACAAACTTAAATGTTTGGATAGTTCGTTCTGGAACACTCTTTATACATGCCCCAAGATTTGTCACATTGAAGACGGTAAATGTAAAATATAATTTGAGATATCTTGAAAGTAGCGTTTGGTAACATTGCCAGCTTCATGTTTTCTGTACAGAAAATGAGAAACATGCTCTTTTTTTCTTTTCTTTTTAAATTTTTTAATGTGGATATAAGTATTAGTTGGTTTATGTTCACATGGTGAAACTATCCCAATCAGCGTTGTCTTCTCTTATGTTCAAGTGCTGCTGATTCTGACCTCCCATGGACGGATTTCTTCCTTATTCTACATTGTCTTATAACACCACTCGTCCATCTCAATATTCTGAGCTGACATGCAGCATTTACTTAGCCCTTGTAGAATTTTTAATGTTTGGTGTAGTATATTTATGGTTCTTTTTTATGTAAGCTTGATAAATTGACATGCATTTTAATTTAATGTAATTTCTATTGTTTATAGTTTGTCTAACACTGTGTATGTCAGTTGACCTAGATCTCGGACTGAGCCTGCGGGAAATATGTGCTGTAAATAGGTCAGATGAAAAGCAGGTAACACAAAGGTCCTTTCAATATGATATAATATGATTTTCCCAAATATACATAAAAAGAAAATGATTCTGACAATACAATTGCAGCAAATAAAAGCTCTTCTTGAGAGTGTTGGGACTTCTTTCTGCCCTGATTATTTAGACTGGTTTGGGAATGGTGCAACTGATTCACATTCCAGAAATGCTGATCAATCTGTTCTTTCAAAATTTTTACAAGCACATCCTGCTGATTTTTCTACCACTAAATTGCAGGTCAGGCCATACTTTTTGCAGATTTTCTGAAGTATGAATTTACTTTTCCTATAATAGTTTCATAATCTGCTTAGATAATGTTATATCTGTTTCATAAACTGCTTGATCTTTATGGCTTTGTAATGTTATCTGTTATTTGGTTCGTTGGTTCTTGAAGTGATTGTCTGTTGAGTTATAACAATTTTATTGAGCTTATAAGACATTATTGTTTAATATTGCTTTTAAGATTTGATTGATGTCTAATATTTGCATTTGGTGTTTGTATATTTTGTGGTTGTCTTTGGGTATGATGCATCTAATATTGTAGAATTTGTTTCTGACTAAGAATTCTTCCTTTCCTGTAATATTAACCTTAATTTTTTGTTCAAGCCAGGAAATGATTCGTTTGATGAGAGAGAGGCGTTTTCCTGCTGCTTTTAAGTGTTATCATAACTTTCACAAAATTGGTTCTGTATATAGTGACAACCTGTTCTTCAAAATGGTCATCCATGTCCACAGCGATTCAGCATTTCGACGATATCAGAAAGAGATGAGGTCCTATTTAAACTTAAGCTTGTAATGTAGTGATTTATCTGGTACTTTGATCGACGTATATTATGGTCTATGTTATTCCTTGTCATTTTTTTGTTATGCATGTTCCTTGAATTTTGTGATTGAAAAACCTTTGGTATGTTTCAGGAACAAACCAGGATTGTGGCCTCTATATCGAGGTAACTGTCTTTCTTTTTTATCTTGTTTTAGTTCTATTTAAAAGTTTAAATTTTACAACCCGAAGAATTTGTCCCTTCTGGATGGCCTAAAGGACATTTATTTACCCCCAACCACCTCAAAGGAAGATATTTAATGCTCAACCATAGCTGAATGTTGTCTGCCACATATTTCTCCATGTCCGTATGGCTAATTCTGTAATCAAATTACTTCTCCATAATGTGGTGAGACTTGACAGTGGAAATAGGGATTAGAAGATTCAAATCCCTTACACAGCTGTGGTAAAAAGATTTGGAACTGTTGAAAGTGACATTGACTATTAATGGTTTGGTACACTTACAACCATGTAAGGAATTAGGATAATGAGGAGTATATGTCGTTGAGAAATGAAGGCTAAACCAATGTGTTAGGTAGTGATATTAGAAAATATAATAACACTTCCTACAGTAAGAATGATGTATTTGGAAGTATTTTTATGCAAAATTTTGATGCATACGTGCACGCACAGTCTCTGCCAAAAGATACGGCAGAATGGCATAAATCAGTTGGTGATGCTTCTTTTCTTTTTCTTTTTCTTTTTGCCAGGATTTTTTGTTGACATAAATTTATTCAAGGAAAACAGGGAGAAAGCTGCTCAAACTGCAAAAAACACCAATGATTTGCTTAAAAATGTCAACAGTAGCAATGGAACATTAGCAAAAGATGATTTAGCAGATGAAGATGCAAATTTGATGATCAAACTGAAATTTCTTACATATAAGGTATGTGTAGGTGATGATCTTCTTGTTATCTTGATTTGTAAATATTTGGTGGAATTTCACCCTTTCTATTGTGTGGTCCAATTTTTAATTTATTTGTATTAATTTCACGGCTTTTTATTATTACGTGGGACTTGTATATTATAAATTTGGGTAGCTGAATAGACCCTTGCTGATCCCGCATAATAGGTCACTTGAATGATAGTAAGAATGTTGTTCATAAATTTCTAAGAGCTCTTTAGATCCCATATAAGAGTTGAAGCAAAAGTTATTATCTAGGGTCCATACCATGGTTATGATTATTGGCCGATTTGTACTTGTATTTTGGCCTTACGATACAGATACTTCTTCATATACCGTTGTGAATAAATATCGTTCGCAATCTGGCTGGTTCGTTTTGCGACGGTTTGAATTGGATAAACAAACCGACTTATCAGTTAAGCGATCTGGTTCACAAAAATTTTAAAATTTGAAATCTAAATTGACTAGATTTTGGTATATTCCTGATGTGGGACAAAATAGTTTGGGGGGCTGTTTATGTAAAGTGGATTAGAGGAGTTAGTAATTATATTCCAACATTGGACTTTCATCTTTGTGTGCGAGTGTTTGGTATTCATATCACGTGGGGATATGAAGTAAATTAAGCACATATTTTATTTCTTGAGATCATTGCAAAACTTGAGTTACAGTGAAAAAAAATGTAGAATAACAAGTATTTAGTTTTTAAGTGTTATGTCCAAGATCGGTTGAAGGTGGACTTTGTGGGGTGTTTTTTTGTAATTAATTTGCTTTAATTGTCTTATTAAGTATAAAAAAGAAATTATTTATTGATACATTGGTTAAAATGTGACAAATTATGTTTAATAGTAAAAAATTGTGTATCATTGAACTTTAGGAGAGTTATGAATGATTTAAAAAATTTCACAACAATGACACCCAATTCCTAATACGTATCCCTAGATACTTCTGATAAGGAAGGATTGATGAAGAAAAAAAAAGGAAGGATTGAGGGAGTTGGATGAGTGTTAACAGAAAATTCTATTATGCCACAATTTATGTTTTTGAATGCACGTTTCAAAACATGACACTTTTGTTCCAAAATGATGAATTTAACAATTTGGAAGCGATCTCCAATATTTTTCCTATGCACTTTCTTGAAGTTCTTCTTGCAAGGAGAAAACATCAAATATAATCAAATTAAAATAATAGAGGGAAGGGTGGATCCGGATTTGTTTGACTTTTTGGACTTTGTAGATGATTTGATTGGGTAGATGTAGCCCTTTATTTTGGGGTTCTACTTTTGTATTCTTTAGCATCTTCTTGATGTTTTTCGTGATAAAATTTATTTATTTATCAAAAAAATAATAATAATAGAGCGGAGTTTTGGTATGTCAAACAAAATAGGCCATAATGCCTCCTAGAATTGTGTTTTTACGTGATTAATTGGAAGAATAATTGACTATATATTATTGAATGTCTATTCAAAAAAATTACTCACATTTAGAAGTACCTTGAATTCTAGTAGTGTATGATATATCTATACAACCCTTAGGTGACGTGTTGCGCTTACCTTCGGATGTTTCGAAAAGTGAGCAAGGGGCGCTGCATCCTGGATGCAGTGAAAAATGGGCAAAGGTTTTCACGTTTTTCTGGACAAGTGCGGATAAAGAAGCTAGTCCAAGATTGTAGGTTTAGGGTAGCCACATGGAATATAGGAATTTTAACTGGTAAGACTATGAAATTAATAGATGTCATGATTAGGAGAGTTAGTATAGCTTGCGTCTTAGTTGCAGGAATCGCACAATTAGGTGACGAATCTCCGTGAGAAACGCGATTCCGCGTTTCTTAGAAAGAAACGTGTAAGAATCGCGTTTCTGTAGAGAGAGAAACGCGATCCTGTCCTAGATAGGATCGTTGGTGGCTATGAACAAAAACCCTAACTGAGAGAGAGAGGAGAAAGAAGGTGAAGAACCTGAAAGTCGTCTGGGTATGTCCTGCTTCTTCGCTTCGTTTTTCTTCTCTCTCTCTCTCGCTCTCGCAGATCGTCTCTGGCAGATCGTCTCTCTGGCAGATCGTCTCTCGCAGCTCGCCTCTCTCTCTCGATCTCGCAGATCTGCTCCTTCTTGTCGATCGTCATTGTCTCCTTCGTCTTTTGCCTTCTCGCAGTTCGTCTCTCACTCTCTCTCTGGCCACCGTTATCTGATTCTAAGTAATATACTAATATATAAATAAGATAAAACATATATAATATATAAAACATATATAATATATATCATATATATTAATAATATATATAATATATGATTATATATATGATTCTAAGTAATATATAAATAATATATATAATATATTATATGATTATATATATTAATATATATATTTAAAAATAAAAAAAATATATTAACACATTATTATTTAATATATATCATATTTATACATATAAATATAAAATATATATATATATGAGTATATATTATACATATTAATAAAAAAACACAAACAAATATATGTAAAATAAAAAAAAAATTAACAATAACACATTATTTAAAAATATAATAAATAAAAAAATAATTAATGTGTATTAAAATAAAAATATTTATAAAAAAAATTCTAATGTGTATTAAAATATATATATATATATATTACCGCTCCCCGAGGCGCTCCCAACCAGAAACTTCTATCGGTTCACGCTTCCCTACTCCCGCTCCCGCCCTCGCTCCCGCTTCGTGCAACTAAGGCTTGCGTACAAAAAACTAAGTGGACGAGTGAGAAAGCTCGAGAAGTAGAGACTACCGGTTTTAAGCTATATTATAGTGGTAAGGATAGACACAGGAATGTGGTAGGAATAATAGTTGTCAAGGGTCTGGTTGAAAATATAGTTGCAGTCATTAGGAAAGGTAATAGGATTATGTTACTTAAACTAGTTATTGGAGATAATATAGTGAACGTTTTTAGTGCATACGCCCCCCCTCAAGTAGGATTAGATGATCAAACTAAGAGAGTTTTTTGAGACCAAATGGATGAAGTATTACAAGAGATACCCGTAGGAGAGAACTTGGTTATAGGTGGTGATTTCAATGGCCATGTAAGAGTAGATAAACTAGGTTATGAGAGGGTGCATGGTGGGTATGGTTTTGGTGATAAAAATGAGGCTGGAGAGAATATTTTAGATTTTGCGTTGGTTTCTGACCTAGTAGTGGCCAATACTATGTATAAGAAGAGAGAGGAGCATTTGATAACCTTAAAGAGTAGGTCAATTAGGAGCCAAATAGATTATTTTCTAGTAAGAAAAGGGGACCGTCTAAAATGTAGCAACTGTAAGGTGATTCCTGGAGGGAGTTTGATGTCTCAACATAGGATTTTGGTATTGGATTTATACTTTAAAGGGCAATACCAAGCTCGGAAAGATAGTGGGCGTCGCAGGACTAGATGGTGAGACCTAAAAGGGGATAAACTAGACACATTTAAGAATATAATGGATAAAGAAAGTACTTGGGACTTGGAAGATGATGCTAACGCTATGTGGAACTCGATGGCCAATTGTATGAGGAGAATCTCAAAGCAAGTTTTTGGAGAGTCGAAAGGAAAGGGATTTAACTTTTGGAAAACTTGGTGGTGGAGAGAGGAGGTCCAAGCGGTAATAAAGATGAAAAAAAAAGAGGGCTTTAAAAAGTGACAAAATGATAGAACTGAGAAAAATTTTAAGCGCTACAAATTAGCCAATAAGGAGGTTAAAAAAGTAGTGAGAGGGACTAAGTTGAAAGTCTATGATGACCTATACACTAGACTAGATAGTAAGGAGGGAGAGAAGAGGATATACAAACTTGCTAAGATAAGAGAGAGAAAAGTAAGATATTTTAATCAGGAAAGTAAGATATTTTAATCAGGTTAAGTGCATCAAAGGTGAGGACTCTAAGGTGTTGGTGAAGGATGAAGAGATTAAGGAGAGGTGAAAGAACTATTTTGAGAAGTTAAATGAGGAACAGGGAGATAGGTCAAAAGGGGAGGAAGTAGGCAGTAATAAGGGAAACCATGACTATAGGTTCTGTCATAGAATTAGGGACTTTGAAATGGAGTTTGCACTTAAAAAGATGAAATTGAATAAGGCTTTAGAACCCAATGATATACCTATCGAAGCGTGGAAATGTTTGGGTAAGAAGGGGGTTGTATGATTGATTAGGTTATTTAGCAAGATTTTGTTGACTAGGAAAATGCCAGATAAGTGGAGGAAGAGTATTTTAGTGCCAATATATAAGAATAAAGGAGATGTCCAGAATTGTAACAGTTATAGAGGAATCAAGTTAACATGTCACACAATGAAAGTGTGGGAGAGAGTGATGGAATGCCGATTGCGAGATATAGCAGAGGTGTCTGAGAATCAATTTGGGTTTATGCCTGATAGGTCAACAATAGAAGCGATCTATCTTTTGAGGAGAGTAATAGAAAAGTATAGAGAAAGAAAAGAGACATATATATGGTTTTTATCGATCTTGAGAAAACATATGATAGAGTGTCTCAAGATATAATCTGGTGGGTGTTAGAGAAGAAATGGTCGACAAAAGGTTACATTGATGTGATTAGAGATATGTATGAAGGTGTGGTGACCACTATTAGATCGCCTGCTGGAGAGACGAGTAAATTTTCAATTACTGTAGGGTTGTTCCAAGGATCAACCTTAAGTCCTTATCTTTTTGCTTTAGTTATGGATGAATTGACGCGCAATCTTTAGGATGATGTGCTATGGTGTATGTTTTTTGCAGATTATATCGTGTTAGTGGATGAGACTAGAGAATGAGTTAACACTAACTTAAAGATTTGGAGAAAAACACTTGAATCTAAAGGATTTAAGATAAGCAGAACTAAAACAGAATATATGGAGTGTAATTTTAGTAACAGTCACAATGGAAGTAGAGGAGAAGTGAAGATTGAGAACCAAGAACTACCTAAGAGTGGACATTTTTGTTATTTAGGATCGATTATCAGAACAACTGGGGAGATTGGAGCGGATGTGATCCACAGAATTAAAGCGGGTTGGCTTAAGTGGAAGAGTATGTCTGGAGTACTATGTGATAAACGAGTACCAATTAGATTAAAAGTGAAGTTCTATAGATTGGTTATTAGACCAACGATCTTGTATGGGATAGAATGTTGGGCAACTAAGAAACAACATGTAGATAAGATGAGTGTTGTTGAGATGAGGATACTAAGGTGGATGTGTGGCAAAACTAGAAAGACTGAGTTATGAATGAGTATATTCGAGAATGGGTAGGAGTAGTATTGATAGAAGATAAGTTGAGAGAGAATAGATTGAGATGGTTTGGTTATATACAACAGAGACTAATAAAGGCAGTAGTGAAGAGATGTGATATTGTGATAGTAGATGGTAGTGTTAGGGGAAGGGATAGACTTAGATTGATGTGGACTAATGTAGTAAATAGAAATATGAATCTCCTTAATTTGACTAACGAAATGGCCTTGGACAGAGTCGTGTAAAGAAGAAGGATTCATGCAGCCGACCCTATTTGATGGGACTTAAGGCTTAGTTTGGTTTATGATATATCTATACAAATCTACCTGTGTACATCATGCCCGTTCTCATCCCTAGATGGAATGGGAATGATCCTCATTCTGGGTAGCATAGATTTGATGGTTGGGTTGAAATGAGGTGGGATGGTGATAGTTTATTAAATTTATAGAACCATTAAGTTCGTAAATTTCAAGTAGCGAAAAGATTATAGAGTTTGCTTGTTAAGACTCTTCTTTTGTTATATACATACATAGCTCTTTAGTTTAATTGAATCTAAATTAGAAATTCTTTATAAATAGAGGACTTAATATCCTTATAAGTTAATAAAAGAGAGTGACCAACATTAATTACCCCTATGACATGGCATTTTAAACATGTGAGAGAGTAAAGAGTTTCATGTAAATTTAGAAACAGAAGTTATAAAAAAGATGACTAGTTGTAAGCACATTATGTTTTCTTTGTTGACTCAAATTACATGATTCTTTTTTTTGCTTTGCACATGCACACACGCTAATGTAGGACAGGTTTTAGGAGTTTAGTATTATTTGTTGTATCTTGATTTTCGTAACTTTTTTTGGAGTCTAGAACTCTATTAATTATTTTTAGTGGATTTAGGTTTCTAGTGGTAGAATTTTGGATCCTTACGAGTTACTGTATTAGTTAAAAAAGATTTTTTATGACACAATTTGAGATGTCTGCTTTCTGCTTTCCTGTTTTTGTTTCTAACTTAGGGCCTTATTTTTGACCATGTATTGTTTGCTTTTTTCCTCAATTTTTTCTTCTGATAGTCCAACTGATTACATATTCATAACTCTTCTCCTTGTGCTGTGCAGTTGCGAACGTTTTTGATCCGTAATGGCTTGTCAATTCTTTTCAAGCAGGGTCCATCAGCTTACAAGACTTACTACCTGAGGTAAGATTATCTATATTTTCACCAATTTGTGGTTGGAATGGGAACATGAGAGGAAGATGTATGGTAGAGCTGAACAATTATGTGAATCTTCTAGACTATGCTACTTGCAATGCGGATAGTTTTGATACGTGGAATAGGAACGGGAATGTGGTACTTGACATGATGTAAAATGTGGTATGATGGGGGTAGCTTCTATATTTTAGATTAATAGATTTTAAGGTACTTCTAAAATAATTTTCTTTTAATAATTAGGCATGCAATAAAATAGTTATTTAAAAAAAAAAAAAAAAAAAAACTTTTTGTTTACCCATTTGTGTGAGCATTATGGCCCATTTTGTATATTTTGTCTTGCCAAAACACTACTCTCTGTAGTTTTTAGCACATTATATTTTAAATATTTTTTTCTCCCAAGGAAACCTTTTAAAGAAAAATAGAATTTTTTTTGGGATTGATTTGGGTTCTAAATTCACTATATTGGAATGAAATGGTAACATGTTTCGGAAGCTGTTCCATAACATAAATGCTAAGGTGTTAGCGTTTTCTTGTATCACTAGTTCTAGATAAAGATTAAAAACGATTGGTAAAGTATACCATTGGATAAGATCTTTTCAGTGTAATAAAGAATTTATTGAAATAGTGGACACGGAAAAATAAACCACATATAAATCATAATAAAAATAAAAATAGAGGCTTAACGATTTAACGTGGAAAACCTTGAAGAAAACTTTCTTCAAGGAAAAAGCCATGAGCATACCCAACCAAACAAAATCTACTATGAATGTAAGATATATAAGACTCAGCATGAGAGAGCTTACAAACCCAACTCGTTAGTCTTTCACAAAGCTTCTCACTTGCTTTCCGCTCCTGCTCTTGATTCACTAGTGCTCCATAGAACTCATTCCAAGTTCCACTCCTTGCGGCTCTGTTACACAATGGCCTGCGGATGGGTATGCAGTGCAATTGTGGTGGGTTATTTAATAAAACTCTCAAACATGAATTTCCATCACAAAAATTAAAAAAACTGAAGCTCTAGTTTATTGAATGAGAAAAACAGGTTTCAACAGGTAGATGAATTGCCAACATTAGTAGAGTTTTCTCTTTCAAAAGTGGGTGGAAGTTTGCGCATGAAAAAATTGGTTAGTATTTATAAGAAGTCAAGTAGTTAAACCTAATTCCACTAGATTTCAGGTGTGCATTTGAGCTGGCTTTGGGTGTGCAACACTGATCTGGAATACCAACCACATGCTAGCCTGCACACTCCCGTGGGCATCGAGTCTTCTTTTAGAAAATCAAAAGACACCCCTACTGAGCACAAGGTTCTGGGTGCATTGCCCAAATCTTGGTGACCCACTCAAATGGCCTTGGGGCTGGTATTGGGGGCATCAGCCTTGTTTTTCAAAATAAATCAATTCCTATACTTATTAATTATCAGGATTAAAAATGAATTAAGCAGGCCAATTTTGAGCAATTTAAAAAAACGAAGTGTCCTAAAACTAATGCAACATGCTCATGTTGATGTATGCATCAAAGGTACATATATGATTTTCATGTGAGCTTTTGGTTGGCTTGTTTTTTTTTGGAATAGTTTGAGGGTAATCTGCATAATGTTTGTCATCTTGGGAATTTTTTGAGGTTTATCAAAAAAAAAAAAAAAAAAAAAAAAAACTTAGGATGTTCTTGGGGTTAGGTTTAGTGGAGTAGGTGAGGTGGTAGTGGTGGTAGGTGATGGTAAATTCTAACAGGTTGCATTATTCAACTTAGTAATTTTTACTATAAATATCTGTGGATTAGATACTTTGTAGTTTGTTCTTTCAAATTTGCACCCTTTGGGCACTTCAGTGTATTTGTGCAATATACTCTTGCTATGGTGGCTTTTTTACTTTATAGTTTCACTAGTTGATTGATTTTTTTTTTTCATGAAATACGAGTCATTGAAAAAACCCAACCAATTTCAAAAGTAATATTGATTTATAGTGTGTTGCTTTAAGAACAGGATAACTGCTTTTTGTGAGATAGCAGTTTTACATCAACTGTACTTAATTTTGAGGGGCTCTGCATCTCTGAGGTCCATAGATTGTCTTTTCTCTTGTAGTTAGTCAGTTGCTCCTGCTCATGGAACTTGGAATTGTGGCTTATCTTCCAAGTAATCCCATTATAGATTTTTGTAGTCTGCACATCACGCTATCAAATTATTGCAACTAGAAGCATTTTTAATTTAAAATCACAAGGCCTACTGGACAAGTAAAGTTATGACATTATTTTATTATGCTGGTCCTTTGTGGACCAATTATGATAACATTTGGATGGTGTTGGGGATCTGAAATGATTGTGTTACAGGCTGCGGAAATTCTCTTCTATATTATATGCTTATTTCTTAGTTGTAGGGTGATAGATGTTTTTATAATATTGTGAATGACTATTTGTTGACATTTTAGGCAAATGAAAATATGGAACACTTCCCCAGGAAAGCAGAAGCAACTCAGCAAGATGCTAGATGAATGGTAATGCTGTTTTGATTCTTTGCGTCCTTGCTGCATTTATACTTGGTTGTACACTCTTCTGAGACAACTTGTGCAGCATGTAAAACACAATTTATTCTTTGTTTCTAGGGCGGTATACATACGAAGGAAGTGTGGGAACAAACAGCTATCATCATCCACGTACCTCAGTGAAGCTGAGCCTTTTCTTGAACAGTATGCAAAACGTAGTCCAGAGAATCAGGCTCTGATAGGGTCTGCTGGGAGCTTAGTGAGAGCTGAAGATTTCATGGCCATTGTTGAGGGAGGCAGGGATGAAGAGGGAGACCTTGAGACAGAGAGGGAGGTAGCACCATCAAGCCCCAGTGCCTCTGACAAGGATACCGTTGCAAAAAATGAGGGTCTGATAGTATTCTTTCCAGGTATAAGTTTTTTTTTTTAAAAAACAGTTATTTTCTTCAATACCCTACAGAAGTTTATGGGTTTCTTGGGTATTTGGGTGGGTTTTTCTACTGTGTCTAATAAACTTACTGATTGAACATCACATGATGTTGCAGAGTAAATAGTTTAATCTGATATGAGATGGTTGAATTGAACATGCATGATAAATTGTTTAATCTGATATGAGATGGTGGAACTTCTCTTGGTTTAAGTATGTATTCTGTGCCGACATTGATCTTATGGTCAAAGAGTCTGGCATTAACCGACCTCAGCTCCATGTAGAGCTCTTCAAATTTGGAACTCTGAATCAAAACAAACTATTGGATAGTCTTTTGATTGAAAACCATGTAGGCAAGCACTAATAGAGTTTTAAAAGGCGTTATTGAGGCTCGTCTTGAGGCAAGGCCAAGGTTATCATCGACAGCGGGGGTAGGAGTGGTGTGGCCGTGGTGGTGACGATGGCGGGGGTAGGAGTGGTGACGGCGACAGCGACAGCAATAGTGACGGCGGAGGTTATAACCATGTAAAATTTTCTTAATTTTTAACTTATATTTTAAGAGCCACTTAAATTTTAAGTGATACTAATTGTGATTATGAAACACGCTTAATGAATTTTCACTTAATGCATTTAGTTTTAAGTGTTGAATTAGGTTATCAAACGTCACCTTAGATTGCCTCATAAAAAAAACTCTCGTTTCGTTATTCCTTGTCTTAGGCCAGCTGCATTTTCCCAAAATTGTTCTTTTATTATAGATTTATCTAATTCTACTAGGAAGATTGAGAGAGGAACATGCAAGAATTTAGGATTGTTCATGGATCGGGCAATTTGAGTTTACAAAGGGAGCCGGCACTTGAACCGAATCATTCGGTTTGGAGATCCAACCAACCGTTGCTGACCGTAGGTCTATTTGAAACCGTCTGGTCTTTTCATTCGGTTGACAGTTGGAATACGGTCGGTTTCACAGATATTGATCTAAGGATTTCAGAGAGAGAATATGTGTGAAGATATGAAAAAAATTCACAGATCTAGAAGAGTGAGAGGGAATAAAATAAAATAGAAAGAGAGACTCCCAATTGGGTGATGGTCTGTAGCAACATCGCTTGTCGTCGCCAGTACTCCTCTAGATATTTGATCAGCCAACGTCAAATGCTATTGCCACTTAGCCGAAGAGAGATTTAAGAGAGAGAATAGAAGAGATCATTAAGGGATATGCTTGAAAAGAAAGAGAGAAGATGAATAGGGTTTGTAACATTGGTTTCATTATCATATTGTTGGGAAGATGAGACTGACAGATGCTTGAAGAGGAAGAGAGAAGATGAATAGGGTTTCTAACATTGGTTTTATCATCATATCGTTGCGAAGATAAAAGGATCTGAGTAACAGTGGATGACAGAGTGATAAGGGTGAATTTTTTTTTTAAGTGATAGACATGATAGGTGTACTGCAGTAAATAATATGGAGATACGTGAGGAGATTTGAATAGTGGCAGACAAAATGTGAACTTCTCAACAACAAAAAAAAGAAAGTGACAAGATAGACAGCTACAGTACATAATATGGAGATATGTGCAAAGTTAGCACATTTTAATATAAAAATCGGTCGGATTGGTTTTAGGCTGTTCCTCTTCTCCAAACTCGATGTTTCCTTTCAGCCAAACCATCCAAAATGTTCTTGGTTCGGTCTGTTCGGACGGTTTAGTCAGTTTAATCAGATTGTTAAACAGCCCTACAAGAATTGCGAAGTAAAATTGGGTGAGAGCCTAAACTAAATACATCAGTTAATGGTATTAGATGAATGTGCTGGGGGAGGGAAAAGGATTACAGAAAGTAGACAGCCAAGAAAATGGACTGCAAATTAGAAACAAAATAATGTCATGTTGAGAACAACCCTTAGAGCTTCAAAATGGACTTCAAGAAAATCGACTCCTGCCCTTAGGCTTTGCTCAGGAATTGAGCTGCTGTTGCGCCCCCTGGATCTCAATAGACTTTGAACGAACAAGTGCACATGCTGAATGTCATAGAATAATATTATTAACTGCTCTCAAATCAATATCACAAGGTCACAGATGAAAAAATGGGTCACAACCAGCCCAAGAAAACTGATAATCAGTTGGGACACAAACAACCCACAAATCCAATAATGTGTTAAGGAATTGTTTGTCCCACCTAACATAATGATGAACTGAGTTTGAGATTATCTACCAGTTTGTCCAGTTGATTGTGTATTGGTGTGTTGACCTTGATTGTTAGGCATTGTGTGTACCATGGGCTGAAGCCCAGCGGTTCACTGTCAGGCATGTCCCCAATTCGGGGCCAATTAGGAAGATAGGAAAAGAGAAGGAACTGTGGGTCATCTTGGATGTCTTTTGGATTTACATTTTAAGGACAATTATTTTCTTCTTGGTGGTGCGTATGCCAGCATTGTACAGTGAAAGTTCTTACTGCCTTCGTTTGGGAAGTGGGTTGGCTTTTTGGCTTTTTAATTTTTAATTTTTTTTGGCTATTCTAGCCTGGGGCTAAAAAGCCTCGTTTGGGAAGGGCTTTTGGTTTTTTTGTGAGAGAAAGAATGCAATGATTATGGGTTAGATGTGATGTTTTGTCTTATTAGGCTAAAAAGCCTATTTTATTTTTTGTGGCTAAAATAGTCAAAAAGCCCCAGCTTTTGCTTCCCAAACGAAGCCACTATTGTGTCTGTGATTTCTTCTTTGAATTGCCTGTTTCTCTGCCATCTCATATATGTTTACTTTTCCTATTTTGAAAATCTGAAATATCTTTTTGTTTTTTTCTTGCTTTATTTTTATGATCATAATTGTTGTGGATACTGAATCAGCGTTCTGGTTTGATAGTTGATACTCAACCTATTTTCTTTCTTGTTGACAGCATATGTTAACTTCAATCTTAGCTTTTACATTCATCTTGACATCCAACCATGAATTTCCATTTTCAGGAATACCAGGTTGCGCTAAATCTGCACTTTGTAAAGAAATTTTAAATGCCCCAGGAGGACTTGGAGATGATCGTCCAGTCCATAGTTTGATGGGTGATCTTATTAAAGGTAAGTATTGTTGAGGAAGTAGTGTTATGATGTCTTCGAATGAGCATGTAAATTTTTTTATGCAAGCTCTCATAGTAGTGGTCAAAGTTGATCATTGCCTCTATTTTTGTGGATGTTATTTGTGAGATCAGCTTGACTTCAATATTTGGTAATTATGTTATTTTATTGTCCTTTGCTAGTATTTGATTTGCTCCCATTCAATATCATGTGCTTGATGCTGCATTGATTGATTGACATTGGAATCCTGTTACGTTATCCTACCTCGTTTGAATCTAGATATCTATACTATTATACTAAAATCCCTTTCAGTCTCCAGCTTGGTGTCCATATGAGGAACATATGAAGTGTCCAAACTATCTTTCCTCCTCCAAATTTAAACAAAAGAATAATCGGATAGAGGTTACTGTGGGATTAAATTAGCAGTTTAACTCCCCCTTTTCTCTTGTGATCTCTCGTACGTTCTCCCAATTTCCATGTCTCTCCCTTCCCAACTCCCTTTTCCTTGTTTTCCTCCCCGGTTTTCATCGCGCTCTAGGTATCATTATGTACACCTTCTAGTTGGTTTAATAGACCAAAATGAAGAGTTGATTATATCTGCAGTTAGTCCAGGCTTGGTCAAGTTCATGTGAAGAATTCTATACCTGAATTTTTTCCCCCTGGTAATAAACTAGCTGAGATTGTGGGCGAAACATTGAAAACCATTTGAGAGGTGGGATGAAAGGAATTCCACCTAAGAATTTTTTAGGTTGAAAATTTGACAATTACTAATTTGGATTTTGTCCGTAGGAGAGAAATTAATGAAATTTTGTCAAACATCATCTCATTCATGGTAGCCCTGCCCATGTTATGTAGGGATGCACACAAAAAATAAAAATAAATAAAAAATAATTGCTGATAAGACTTGATACTCCTTAAATATTTAATCAAATTTGAGACCTAAAATTTTCTTAAACACTTGCATTCAGCAGTTGTTAAGAAACAATTATAATGTGCGCTATCATAAAAGTCCCTTACTTATTGTGGAAGGATGGTAGGCACTGAGATGACAAGAGACCACTGGATGCTGTCTTAGATGGATAGAGAGTGGTAGTGGACAGAGAGCTTCTGAGCTTGCTATAGGAGATGGTTGATTGCTTGCTTCTTTCGTATTTGCATTCATGGAGGAGGTCCTTTTTATAAGAGAGTCGAACCATGTGGACTAGCTCAGCCAGGCACAAGGCTCCAGACTGAGGGACAAGTGGCTCAACCTCATTGGTTTGTTTGACAATCCGAAGGTTTCCCAGCTACTCACTGTGCCCATGGTGTACTATAGTATGTAGGTTTGTTAAGCCTTTGGGATTGTATCACAAAGCTGCAGGAGGTAGGTATGATGCTTCCTACAAGGTGTGACATGCCTTAGTGTTGGGCCTAAGACAAGGGTGCCGTGTTTGCCTACGTTGATAGCTTGACCCCAGAGGGAAACGTAAAGAGATTTGTCGCTGGTCCCTGTGTCACCTCATGAGGCTGGCATGTGGCACCATATTTATTGGAATTGCCAGCATCTTGATGTGACAACACAAAGTAGCAAAGCTGGACTCCATCATGTACCTACACTTATCAAACATGATCAATTCAACTCAAGAGTTCTGATACCTTGCTTAATTAAATTTAAAACTGAAAGATAAAGTTCATGGCATTGAAAACAAAATAACAGAATAAATTTTTTTGGGAACTCACCTGAAATAACTTCAGCTAATGGCCTTTCTAGGGGAAAAAATGGGGAAGAAAACAATTAGAGAATGGTCACAGAGATTACTATTGGATTCTCTACGACCCGATGTCTGCTGAATATGACTGTATATGGTGGTAACCCAGTCATAGTGTGAATGATTTCAATTCTGGATTTCATATTGAGACTTAAAGTTGTCTTGGAGGCAAAAAGTGTGTATTTGTCTGCATATTTTCTATCACTAGGCTACAAAATCGACTCATCTTCTGCACAATTATTTTCAGCTTGACCGTTTTCTCCTTTTTTAGGATTTTGTGTGGCTAACATGTGTTATTTCACTTTGGTGTTTGCTGCGATATCAACAGGTAAATATTGGGACAAGGTTGATGAACAATGGAAGAGAAAGCCTAATTCCATTATGCTTGCTGACAAGAATGCACCTAATGAAGAAGTTTGGTTACGGGTAACTTACTTTTTAGTTGATTTATCATACTGGACTGCATGAATCCTTTCCAGTGCATTGTCGAGTCAAATGAGAGCTTGATAAGAAGTAAAGGGAACAGTGACACTCCTGCTTGGTTTGTAAACATATATGCATCTGACATTGGGAACAAGTGATTTGGGATAGATAAAGAGTTGAAACCCACAATTCTTAAGTCATGGCTGCACTATGATTGTATGCATGTCTAGAGAGCTAAGCATTTTGTACAAAGGTAGAAATATGGTAGCGTGATTTTGGTTGACTGACTTTGGGATAATAATAGGTATTACCATTCAAAAGTCTAAATAGGCATTCCATCTCGTGTCTTTTCCTAGGTAGTCTACCTTTTTCCCTTTTTAAGCTGTCATAATGTGAGATTATAAGCAGTTTGAAGCCTAAGCTTACTTTGTTCCTGCTTGTAGTATATTTTAATCTCCTTCTCTTTCTCTGTTATCTATGACATATTTGCTGTAAGAAACCTTATCTCTGAGGTTATGTCAAGGAAACAAATATTTCCCCGCTAGTTTGGCACTGGGAATTCTCAATTTTTTGGGTGGGTGGATGGATGTTGGAAATCCTTACTGTGGAGGATTGGTGTTGGGAAACATCAGTTCAAGACTGGTGATAATGCCTTGCTCACCACATTATTAATCCCTGTGCATCGATGTAGATTATGTGTCAACTTTTTCTTGCTTGGATGTGGAAGATTATGCCAGTGTATGTGGAATAATTTCTATTTTAATCGAGTGATAAACAGCAGGCCCGGAATTTTTAAATTTCATGTTTAATTAATCTCATTTACAGTCATTATAATACTGAATTTGACCAAAATAACTCGCTGACCAACTTGTTTTTAATGCAATTTTAGACTATCTTGCCATGGATAGCCGTGCAATTGATCTAACTTGTTAAATTTGATGTATAGAGAAATAGAGAGAATAAATTATGTATTATATTGATTGATATATATTACAAATGGTGAGTGGCTCATTATATAGGAGAGGGTGAGTGTAGTAGGTGAGGAGTAGGTGAGGAGTAGGTGGTGGTAGGTGATGGTAAATTGGTGGTAGGTGATGGTAAATTCTAACATAACTGAATGTGAATTGACTTAATAAGTCTGTTTATATTCACATATATGCACACAACCACATATTTTTGTAGATAAAGACATAAAGCAAGAGTGCTTAGGCAAACTGAAATTCCAAAGTATTGCAGTGTAGGTATGCGACCCCAAAGTGAGAGCTGGGTAGAATTTCAATCTCAAAGCTGCTTATCAGAGACCTGTTCTGGATGAACCATAAATTTCTTATGTCCTTTTTTGAAATCAGATTTGCTTTATGTCATCTTTTTCTTATTTCTGCAGATTGAGGAAATGTGCAGAAGAATGAGAGCATCTGCGGTTCCTGTTGTGTCTGATTCTGAAGGTTATTATGTTTACTTGTTCCTTAATATGTTTACTCCCTTAATTTTGCAATTCTTCAGCTTTAACTAATTTTTATCATTATTTTTTTAGGCTTCACCTTGCTAATTCAATTGCTACTTATGTTGGATGTATTGGTTATGACTTAGTGACTAATTCCGAATGCTCTGTGTTCCACAAGGATGACATGAATGTTAGTTTGCACCTCAATTATATAAAAAACTCTCTTTAGTCTTGGCGATGTAATTCCAGCAGACCATGAAAGTCAATAAGCATGCACTCTTTGAATACTATAGGCTTTATTTTTTTTCCTTCTGTCATTTTTTGTTAAACTTGCTGTTTTCCATATGTATTATGTATGTTTAGGTTTGGAGGGGTGATTTCTTCTTTATCTTTCATTTTACAGTTTTCGAGGATTCTCTTTATTTTTCATTGATATCAGAGGTGATATATCCAAATACCTTTGTTATCATAAACTTATGATTTGTACATTTATGATTTGCGATTCGCTTCACGATTCATGCATAGATCGATATGAATCTATGGGTGAACTTATTTTGGGATAGAATCTAATATGGTGAATAGAGCACATCACGATTCAATTTATTTTTTACGATTTATGCAATTCTCCAAACTATAGTGCTCGACAAATTGTGACCTTCGTTTACCTCTTCTTCTTCTTTTTTTGAATAGTGAAAATGATATAATACTTCTGAGAGTGTTTAGTACAAATACTAATAATACCTTTAATGATCATAGGGTTTTTGATAGGATCCGGTCAGACCTAACATGTTCTTAACATTTTTTCCTCACTTTTTGCCCCAAAATAAAAATATCATAATACATATTCTAAGGATGTTTAAGGTTAAAATAACTTTTATTTTATTACTTGATTGACATTGACAGATACGTAGTTTTTAGTAAATTACATATAGTTCAATATTTCATGTGTCAGGACTCAGGTCAATTATACCCACTGGTTCAACAATTGTTTTTTTTTAATTACTTTTTTTGAATAATGAACATACACACTTTTTAAACCTTAAAAAAAGGATTTCACTTAATTCTTTTTTTTTAATTATTTTACACTATTTAGGGTTTCTAGTTCCATTTTTTGAATGTAAAGATAGGTTATATTATGGTTTTTGAATAATTTTATGGTTTTGTAGGATTTGAACCCGCATCTCTTGTTATGAAGGCAATGTCTTTCCGATTAAATGGTGTAAACATGTTTTTATATAAGATCTATTTTATAACATGTGTCAAAATCTTTATTCTTTTCTTCATTTTTTCATCTATACGATTGTTTAACATCATTTTCTATAGTTTATATTGAATCTTAACTATTCTTGATTCAAACAATAGGATTTCAATTCACAATATGATTCTCAATTTGACAATTATACCAATTATGTATTTTATGAGGGTGTCAATACAATATCTATTTGTGGAATATAGTTGTAGCAAAATATAAATCCTTTTGAGAGTTATGTACAAGTGGGGTAGAAGGCACATGGAGGACGCATGCATGCATTTTCTTGTGGTAATTTTCTGCTAATTTTATCAATGAGTATCATCTATCTCGTTCATGGTCATAGACTATGCATATTCTGTGGAAATGAATGTGGCTTCTTTATAAGGAGAGGGGGAGGCATGTCTTCCAATTGATTGCCAAGTGTATCAGGGTTTTCTAATTTAGTTTACAATTTTATTTTATTTTATTTTTTGTCTTAATGCATTGGTTCATAGCTGCCTCGTGTAAAGATGGATAACTACAGTTTCTATTAAGTTCTTGCCTGTCATGGAACTGAGAGAAATTTATGCTTTGTGAATATAGTTGTAACTAGTTTTCTCAGATTGACTAGGCTAGAATATTGTAGTGGTAGATATTGATATATTAATTATTGCTGGAACTGTTCTTGTTTCGTTTTCAGTTTTCACGTTTTCTATTGGATCATCATTTTTTTCTTCTATTTACTTATTTATTTAATTTCGTTTTTCATTTGTCATGTTTTCAGGAACTGAAACAAATCCATTTTCTCTTGATGCATTAGCCGTTTTCATATATCGTGTGCTTCACCGAGTTAACCATCCGGTACTTGTTCATATTTGCTACTTTGATATGTGATCTTACACTTGTGCTCTCATGATATGGATTACCATCTTCCTGATTTTTTCATTGTAAATCATGAAGGGAAATCTCGATAAGAACTCGCAGAATGCTGGCTATGTTCTGCTAATGTTTTATAATCTCTATGACGGAAAGGTATCATCTTTTATATTCTTTTAGAAAAAATGTAGATTTGTATTCTCAAGCTCCTTTTCTGAGCCCCTTTTGCTTACACTTCTCAGAGCCGCAAGGAGTTTGAGAGTGAGCTAATTGAACGTTTTGGTTCACTTGTGAAGATGCCTCTACTGAAGCCTGATAGGTCTGAATTGATTCCTCCCATTGTGATATCTCTGATAAATTTTATTTTCTGTTTTCAAACTATACTTTAATGCTAATCTTTTAATTGATTAAAAAGGCCGTAATATGATTGCATGTCTGCTGTTAGTAGCCTAGTATTGTTGTTGTATTAGTTGTAGCAAATACTAGTTGGTGTGATTTAGGTTAGAGCCTTATGTAAGAAACTAAGGCTGTCCTATGAGTGGATATGGTGGGTAGGGCTGCAAACTAACTGAGTCAAGTTTTGCTATGTTTGAGCTCGGTTCACTTCAAAGTTAGGGTGGTCAAGCTCAGCTTGTGCTTGAGTCGAACCTAGAATTTCATGTTTGACAGCACAGCAGTGTCTGAGCAAGCTCATGAGATCAAGCTCTTTTCTTTTAGTTGTTAATTTCTGTCATATCACCTCTTTTCATTTGTAATTTGAGACACAAGGGTTTTGTGTCCTGTTCTTTTCGTTGACTGTTTCCTTTTATTTTCATATTTATTTACTAGTTTAATTCTCTCATTAACAAGGGCAAAGACAACCAAAGGCCATAGCTTTGTATTTGTTCTCATTTTTTTTTTTTTTTTTACCTTATAGTATTTTGGTATTGTTTTTTGGATACACAGGGATCCTCTGCCTGATTCTGTGAAGTCTATTCTGGAGGAGGGATCAAATCTATACCAGCTTCACCGAAGAAGGCATGGCAGGTTAATAACTGTTTTCCCCTACTAACAGTGGCTGTATGAGTTCATAGTCATTATTGTGATTAAGACGACAATATCTCCCATCCCATGTCTTGTGTTGCTTTTTGACTAACAGATAGTACCTTCAATTAAGATACACGTGTTTGTTCTCAATAAATATTGTACTTCACCTCTCAACTATGTTTATCTCATGATAGAGAAAAGGCACGGGTTTATTCTCATAGATATTTGTATAGTAGAAACACATCTTATTGAAATCCATTTGCTTGATGGATCATATACATGTCCAGTGTCTTGAGGAACAAGCAAATCAGCTCTAAGTAGTTATTGCAAAAACGATAACACAAAGAAGTTGTTCACATATTTTTAAAATTTTTGGAAATCATATTTTACTATTTTTTTTAAAAAAAAATTCTGTGGAAAGAGACACCATTTTTTGCTAGACTAATATTCCCTTTAGTATTCCAAGGTTATGTTGTAATTTGTAATTGACTTAGTGAAGTGGTGTTGTGATGAAGTGGATATTTTAGTAGTAACTCTTCTATTGTTTTCTTTGGAGTTAATTATTTTTATTATATATATATATATATTTTTTTTTTCCTCTCTTCAAATTATTTTATTTTATTTTTATCTGGTGGCAACTTGTTAAAAGTTACCTTCTGCTTAATTTAGAGCGGAGCCCACAAAAGGATCATATGCGAAGGACTGGGCTAAATGGGAGAAGCAATTGAGAGAGGTTCTATTTTCCAATGCCGATTATCTTAATTCTATTCAGGTCAGCATATACTATTTGTGTTCTCTTGTATTGAATTCTTGCAGTCTGGTTGTACACGCACTTAGCAACTATCCTCAAAGTCCGTTATAAATTATTATCGTGGTTTTCCAGAAATTTTGTGCATGCATTGTTTATCAGTACTTCAAATCCTGGAAGCCCCCTAACAAACCCCAAACCCATTTCAAGACAAAAGAAACGTCAAAATCAAACCCAAAACAGACTCGCACTCACAAAAGAAAAAGAAAAAAAGTCCTGCACACAGTGTTTGGGACTTATTTTCAGTGGATATTGTTAGAATTTATCTCCACCTACCACCTCCACTATCACACACTCCACCTACACCTACCACTACCACCTTCACCTACTCCCAAAACTTCTCCTATATAATACATCCTTGTAATATACAAAATGTACAACAATCAATAACAATCAATATTACATAAATTTCAACTGATATCTTTATGTGGCAACTTCTGTTCACTGGCTTGTATTGATCGTATTTCAGTATTGCTGAACATATCTTCTGCATGATTGGTATATGTTTCCAGGTTCCATTTGAATTCGCAGTTGAAAAAGTGTTAGAACAACTGAGAACTATTGCGAAGGGTGATTATTCAACACCAAGCACTGAGAAGAGGAACTTTGGAAACATTGTTTATGCCGCTGTAAGTCTACCTGTTGGTGAAATCCAAAGTCTCCTTGATAATGTAAGTAAAAATTTATTTCTGATCTATTTTTATGAGCATCTCTACTTGAAAGTTAAAACCTTGTAAACTTGATTGAATTTACTCCATGCAAACTGTGGAAATTCATGAAGGTAACTCTAGACTGGGGACCTTAGGTATACCTGTGTCATGGATTGGCCACAAGTTTTTGGGCAAGGCTTGTTGGTATCTATTCATTGGTTGTAAGTTGGGCTTCAATTGAGTGAGTTACCCCCCGCTATTAGGGTTGACCACTGAAAATGACCAAAAAGGCCTCAATCAGATTAAAAAAATATGTAAAATGTTCAAATTGATCTTAAAAGTAAACAAAATAACAATTTTTTTCTTTTTTGAGACACATGCACTTGGGGTAAACCAACCATTGTTTTTGACCATTTCACGATCACCAGTGGACTTGTAATAGGCAGTCAACTTTAACTGCTACCCTATTATGGACGAGCGCGGGTAAAGAAGCTAATCCAAGACTACAGGTTTAGGGTAGCCACTTGGAATATAGGAATCTTAACTGGTAAGACGATGGAATTGGTAGATGTTATGATTAAGAGGAGAGTTAGTATAGCTTGCGTACAAGAAACTAAGTGGACGGGTGAGAAAGCTAGGGAAAGTGAGGATACCGGTTTTAAACTTTATTATAGTGGTAAGGACAGACGTAGGAATGGGGTAGGAATCATAATTGCCAAGGGTCTGGTAGAGAATGTAGTGGCGGTCATTAGGAAAGGGGATAAGATTTTGTTAGTTAAACTAGTTATTTGAGGGAATATAGTGAACGTTATTAGTGCATACGCCCCTTAAGTAGGATTAGATGATCAGACTAAGAGGGATTTTTGGGAGCAAATAGAAGAGATCTTACAGGAGATGCCCGTAGGAGAAAACCTGATTTTAGGTGGAGATTTTAATGGCCATGTAGGCATAGATAAACGAGACTATGAAAGGATGTTTGGTGGATACGGTTTTGGTGACAGAAATGAGGCTGGAGAGAGTATCTTAGATTTTGCGTTGGCTTCTGACCTGGTGGTGGCTAATACTATGTATAAGAAGAGAGAGGAGCATTTGATAACTTTTAAGAGTGAGTCAGTTAAGAGCCAATAGATTATTTCTTAGTGAGAAAAGTGGACCGCCTAAAATGCAATGATTGTAAGGTGATTCCTAGAGAGAGCCTGACCTCTCAACATAGGATTTTGGTACTAGATTTATGTTTTAGAGGGCAATACCAAGCTAGGAAGGATGGTGGGCATCGTAGGACGGGATGGTGGGACCTAAAAGGGGATAAACTAGAAATATTTAAGAATAGAATGGATAAGAAAGGTACTTAGGACTTGGAAGATGATGCTAACACTATGTGGAACTCGATGGCCAATTGTATGAGGAGAATCTCAATGGAAGTGCTTGGAGAGTCGAAAGGGACGGGACTCGGCGCTAGGGAAACTTAGTGGTGGAGGGAAGAGGTTCAAGCGGTAGTTAAGGCAAAGAAGGAGTGCTTTAAAAAGTGGCAGAATGATAGAACTGAGGAAAACCTTAAGAGCTATAGATTGACTAATAAGGAAGTCAAAAAAAGTAGTGAGAGAGGCTAAGTTGAAAGCTTATGATGACTTATACACTAGACTAGATAGTAAAGAAGGGGAAAAGAGAGTATACAAACTTGTTAAGATACGGGAGAGGAAAATAAGAGATTTTAATCAAGTTAAGTGCATCAAGAGTGAGGATTCTAAGGTATTGGTGAAGGATGAAGAGATTAAGGAAAGATGGAAGAACTATTTTGAAAAACTATTAAATGAGGAACATGGAGGTACGGTAATAGGGGAAGAAATGGCTAGTAATACGATAAACCAAGACTATAGGTTTTATCGCAGGATTAAGAACTTTGAAGTGAAGATTGCACTTAAGAAGATGAAATTAAATAAGGCTTTAGGACCCAATGATATTCCTATTGAAGCTTGGAAGTGCATGGGTAAAAAGGGGGTTGCTTAGTTGACTAGGTTGTTTAGTAAAATTTTGTTGACTAGGAACATGCCGGATGAGTGGAGGAAGAGTATTTTAGTGCCAATATATAAGAACAAAGGAGATGTCCAGAATTGCAACAACTATAGAGGAATCAAGCTAATGTGCCATATAATGAAAGTGTGGGAGAGGGTGATGGAACGCCGATTACGAGATATAACAGAGGTGTCAGAGAATCAATTTGGGTTTATGCCCGGCAGGTCAATAATGGAAGCGATTTATCTTTTGAGGAGAGTAATAGAAAAGTATAGAGAAAAGAAAAGAGACATTCATATGGTGTTTATCGATCTTGAGAAAGCATATGATAGAGTGCCCCGAGATATAATATGGTGGGTGTTAGAGAAGAAAGGGGTGACAAAAGATTACATTGATTTGATTAGGGACATGTATGAGAGGATGGTGACCACTATTAGATCGCCTGTTGGAGAGACAAATGAATTTCCTATTACTGTTGGGTTATACCAAGAATCTATCTTAAGCTCTTATCTTTTTGCTTTAGTTATGGATGAGTTGACGAGAAATATTCAGGATGACGTGCCATGGTGTTTGTTTTTTGCAGACGATATCGTGCTAGTGGATGAGACTAGAGAAGGAGTTAATACAAAGTTGGAGATTTGGAAAAGAGCTCTTGAATCTAAAGGTTTTCGGATAAGCAGAAATAAGACAGAGTATATGGAGTGTAAATTTAGTAACAGTAACAATGAAAGCAGAGGCGAAGTGAAGATTGAGAATCAAGAATTGCCTAAGAGTGAACATTTTCGTTATTTAGGGTTGATTATCACAACAACGGGGGAGATTGATGCGGATGTGGCCCATAGGATTAAGGCGGGATGATGTAAGTGGAGAAGTGCGTCTGGGGTACTGTGCGATAAACGAATAACCACTAGACTAAAAGGTAAGTTCTATAGAATGACTATTACACCAGCGATGTTGTATGGGACGGAGTGTTGGGCAACCAAGAAACAACATGTAGATAAGATGAGTGTGGTTGAGATGAGGATGTTAAGGTGGATGTGTGGCAAGACTAGACAAGACAGAATAAGGAATGAGTGTATTTGGGAATGGGTAGGAGTAGCACCGATAGAAGATAAGTTGAGAGAGAATCGATTGAGATGGTTTGGTCACATTCAACGGAGACCAACAGAGGTAGTAGTGAAGAGATGCAATGCTGTAACGGTAGAGGGGAGTGTTAGGGGATGGGGTAAGCCTAGATCAACGTTGGCTAATGTTGTAAATAGAGATGTGGATCTACTTAATTTGACTAATGAAATGGTTTTTGATAGGGCTACGTGGAGAATAAGAATTCATGTAGCCGACCCCATTTGATGGGACTTAAGGCTTGGTTTGGTTTGGTTTGGTACTCCCTCCACCTCTTTCTTTTTTTCTTTTTTTTTTATTTATTTTTATTTTTTTATGCAACCTTCTTCCCATTTCAAGCAATAATTTTCAATGAGAGCTACTGTATATCATCGAAATATTTCACTGGAACGTTTCACCTGCTACATGGCTTCCCATGTGCATGGTAGGTTCTATTATTATGGCGTTTATTGCATGGATACGCATAGGAGACGAATAAAACGCTGAAATACATGTAGTGACAACTATCATTTCTCAATATCAATACAACAGCCTCATCACATGCGCACACACAACGTGATTTCAATATTCGTTTCTTTTTCTTTTCTAGTAAGCAACACTTAAAAACCTGTATACATAAGACACAAGTACATTACAATAGTCCTTGGCCAGGAATGTTCTACATCCCTAGACATTTTCACGGCAAATCTGTCAATGTCAAATGCTGCTTGCACCAACTTGCTTGGCTTCCATTTCTTTTGATCACACCTCACAAGTTGTTCCTGCAACACAAAGTTTGCTCACAACAGCAATTTATTTGACTCTGTTATATAACATAACAGCACAAGAGGTGCTTACTTCTAGAATACTTTCTGTCTTTCGTTTTTTTAATTTTTGAAAAAAAAAAAATTCCCTCTGCCTGCTGCAAACTGTTGGGTTCGATTAGCAAGGCCAACTCTTAGGAAGGCCAATTAAGAGTTGCCAAGAGCAAAGTACAACTACAACGACGCTTTAAGTGAACTTGTCATGAGTTCGGGGAATGTCTTCTATGCAATCATGGAGTCCATAGGTTATTACTGAATTTGCGACCACAACCTTTGGACAATTTCTTTCATATCTGTCTGTAGTGCCTTTTCTTTTCTGAGCTTAAATTTCCTTATGCATGCCAGTTTTTCTTTTGCATTTTAAATTTAAGAAGAAAAAAGAAAATTGAATTTATTGTGCATTAAACTGTTAAGTATGCTTTTCAATTTGTGCAATTATCCTTTTCTGAAGATGGAAGGACCTTCAAGAAACATTCAGATACATAAAAACAAATTCTGATTATATCCTGTTTTTGTATGAGCAGTTGGCTGAGAAGAATCCCAAGGTTGAGGCTCTCCTTCAAGACAAGAATTTGGAGGGCAGCCTTAAGAAAGCCCATGTGACGCTTGCTCACAAACGAAGTCATGGTGTCACAGCTGTAGCCAATTATGGTGTGTTCCTCGATCAAAACGTCCCGGTGAATATCACTGCTCTACTCTTCTCTGATAAAATGGCTGCATTAGAAGCCTCCCTTGGCTCCGTTGACGGCGAGAAGATTAGTTCAAAAAACCAGTGGCCTCATGTGACCTTATGGACTGGCGAAGGCGTTGCAGCCAAAGAAGCAAACTCATTACCGCAACTGCATTCAGTGGGAACGGCTATTCGCATTGATATCGACCCACCCATCACCATAACCGGCGTATTACAATTTTACTGAGCTTCGAATGCATTCAGTTTGGATCGAAAACACTTTTATCGGGACACATTTTCTAGGTAATATGTGGAGAGAGAACATGGAACGAAATTTTTTTGTAGGATCCTAGTTTTTGCTTGAGTATGTACATTGAGGCCATGGAAATAAAGCAGAGGAAATAGAAGAAAATTTGTGTATATTGATGCTCTTAAAAAAAGAAAAGAAAAGAAATTATATTCTTGAAAGTTCAAGGGTTAATTTCACCAAAACCACCTTAATTATTAGCAAATATTAACTTACCCCATCATCAAAGAACTCATATATTTTGACTATCTCAATTATGAAAATTGTATCACTTTCAGACTACTTTCAATATGGGTGTGCATAGGATTTTGTCACCTAATTTAAATTGTATGTTTGTGATGGAAAATGAAAAAGAAAATCAAGAAAGCAATATCACATTGTGCGGGCGGTATATGAAAGTGTTGAAAAAAAATGATGATATTTATTTTACCTTCAATCTCTCACAAATTCCTTGCGAGAAGGAAAATGATACAAATCGTATATTCAATTTATATCAAATTGTATTTGATTATAAAAGTGTAACAAATATTTGACAAACAAAATAATTTAAATTACATAATTTTACCATGTATGCTTTAGCATGTATGCAAAAGGGACTATTTCTATGTTCCAAACCGAAGATGTTGAAATTCACAACACTGTTCCCTAGATGTGATGCGCACAGCTTGAAAAAAAAAAACTCAAATGCTGTGTTTGGTTGAAGGATTTAGAGAGGGATTTGAAAAGAAAAATGAAAAAGATAGGTAAAATGTAAATAAAATATACCTATATTTTATCTAGTTTCACACACCTTTTCCCTTTCTATTTCCAAATCTATCTCCAAATTCCCTAAATCCTCCAACCAAACATAGCATAACAAAATCCATGGCGAACAATCGTGATCATCACATTTTGGAAAATGCAATCGTCTAAACTATTTAAAGACATCAAAAAAAAAAAAAATCCATGAAATTGGATATCATTTATTGATTTTAATTTACAGCAAGTATTGCTCCCATAACAATGACAGACCACTGCAATAGCCAATAGAGATTCAGTTTGGCCACCAGAACAGAATTTCTGATCCAGATCACAATGCAAAGCAGTAACAAGAAGTATAATTAATAACATATTCATCATGCCAGATCCCAAGAATGTTTAAGTGAAAAAACAGTCGGCACATTTCTAATATCTCTCCTAATCTCAAAAAACACACCCAAAAACAAAAAAGAAAAGAAAATAGGTCAAATGATGCATCAAGTCCCCCACGACCCTTTTACAGAAAGGATTATTTGCCTTTTAAGAGACGTGGGATGTTGATATCATTAGGGTTTAGGGCACCAGCTCCCAACCCAATCCGTCAGAGTCGCTATATTCCTGTTTATGTCATCAACATTGTCGCTCTTTAATGGCACCACAATATCTTCTGGATAACTATCTTTTGCCTCCTCCAGCAACACTTGAAATATTTCACATTCTATGTTGTTTGTAAGCTTTGAACCAGTGTAACCTCTGCCACACACAGCAGACAATAAGATTGGGGTTTTACATTTTTTAATGGAAAAAAAAGGATAATGACCACATTGGATCGATTACACAGAAGAAACAACCAATACCTCTTAGTCAAGCGATCGTACAACACAGAGTTCTCAGTTTGAAGCACCACCACACGATCAAACCAACGCTCGGGAAAGAAGTCACAACCATGGTAGTCCACGATGTTTCCCCCTTCTTCCATCATGTCCTCGAGCTCATCACACACCTGCAAAAGCCATATATCACAGATGGATGTCACCATAAACAACGTGTAAACCATGGAGTGGGATAATGAAACACATCATTCTACAAAGCTCCCATAACGATACATAGAAAGCAATGAGAAGAACCATTACGAGATGCTATAAATCCAAATCAGATTATTCACTGTCAAAAAGACGAATATAAGCAGCAGTTAGCAATGGTCAAAAGCCCCCCCAAAATTAATTTATAAGAAAATCTCAGGTTGCATTACAAAGTCCAATAATCTGATGGTGTCAAATATATAAGAGACTCAAATGACTCGGGCAATCCCGTATCCATCAATAATCATGGATCAATTCAAAGGATCTTCAGGGTATATGTCTATGTTCTTAAAGGAATGGTTAGTACCATATAAAATAAATTCCAGAAAACATGCAGAGCTTCAATGCTAACACTGCATAGGAGGATGAAACCAAACACGGGTTCAGTTCAGACTTTCTGGCCAATTAAGAACAATTGTAGCTATTCCTAGTCTTTCCCACTTAATTGGCGAGATGGAAGTATATAATCAATTGCATATGACACATGACAAAACATGACATGCTGAAAACATTCATGTCATCACTTGAGCTAGACATTGCCATCAAGCATCATGGCACTCAAATATAGTAACCAAAATAAAATAAAGAATGATTCAATTTTCAGATAATACCTATATGTATCTTAATTCTTAAGTAGTTAGCACATTGCTAAAAAAATGGTATAGCATTGCATACATAGGAGCAGTCTTTTGCAAACCAGATTAAGACAATTTGAGGAAGATTATAACTTCTTATTTGAAATTTTAGTCCAAAATGGCACATAATGTCCTCTTACCTAAGTAGGTTTCACAATTTGTGAAACCAGCTCTTTTGTAGCATTAAATCATCCAGTATACTATCATCACTAATCCTTAAATAGGAGCAAATATAGTCCCACACCCTAACTTCATCCCATTTTCCTCTGTAGATCAATAATTCTTTTCGTGGTGAACTTCCTTCAAAAAATTTCTCACTAATAATATGGAGATTTTTTTTCATTTATATTCATGTGCACAGAATTCCCCGCTGCTATTCTATGCAATCAGAATACATCAAAAGATGAAGACACTGTTCAAGATTCCAACCACCCAAAATTAAAAATGAACAACAATTGAATATTGGTGTGATGGAACCCAGGGGAAGAAGCCTCCAGAGGAAACAAGAAGAGATGAGATGAAGTTGAAAAAAGGCAACTACCCTCCACTTTATTAGGATAAGAGAGAAGCAAATGCCTTTAGAAACTACCTGAACCAAGACCCAACAACCCACTAGAAATCCCACTTACACACCACTGTCATCAATGGATTACACAATTAACAGATGAAGCCGCAATGCAAAACTATTCTCCTCCGAGGGCCATAACCAAAGAAGGATAGCCTAAGACTATGTTTGGTTTGGGGATTTGGAAAGTGAAAGGGAAAAGGTGTGTGAAACTAGATGAAATGTAAGGATATTTTACTCATATTTCACCTACCTTTTCCCTTTTCCCTTTTCCTATCTTAATCTCTTCCCATATCCCTCAACCAAACACAACGTAATGTGCATGCTGAAATCCTAGCTACAAAGACAAACAAACATTTGAAATAGACAATCTCAAACTTCACAAAACTTTTTTCAAACTCCAAGCATCAATCTTGCTTCATGTTAAGGAAAGTTAGATAAAGCGCAACAGCCTATCATCCTGTACTTGGTGCATTGGCTTCAATTTGTAATAAACCTTTCCCCAATTTTTAAGATTGTGCTTAGATCATAGATTTGGGTAGAGAGAAAGGGAAAGGGAAAGGGAAAGGAAAAGGTGAGCGAAATGGACACAAAAATTTAAACTTTTCTTTTTTCCTTTCAAAATTCCCACTCAAATCCCCGATCCAAATACATAAAGGACTTGTCTGACTTTCTCAAACCCAATTTTTAACTACAATTGTCCTCAACCAATTCTTCATAATTTGAGATTAATGCCATCACTGTTTCTGTGATCAACCCTTTGCTTCACACATCAATTGTGCAGTTACAGCATTTTTTTTTTTTTTTTTTCACTTTATCAGACTAATAAGTTCATTAATTTTGCACAGCAAATTTTTAATTTTTTTTTAATAATTGCCTCAACAATGAATCCGTGACTCTCCTACCCACGAATCCAAACCCTCTAAAAAACATAACCCACGAACACAAAGTTAGTTAATCCAATTTGACAACATAACACGAGAACAATTTTGACAATAATAGGGTTTACAAAGGAAGAAAGAGAGGAAATGAAATAGTAATAGTAATAGGGGGGTTTTAGAATTACGAGGTCTTCGTTGATGATGTGGCAATCGAAGTGGTCGTCCCAGCCATCGTGCAAGTTGTTATTTCGGACGAGGTCGCCGATGTTGATGTGGCGGAGCTGAGTGGACTCAGCGAGAAGAGAGGAGGTGGTGGTCTTACCGGTTCCCGGCGTCCCAGTCACCAGTATGTTTGGCTTCTTCCTCCCGCTACCTTCCGCCATGCCTCTGCTTCCTTCCTTGATTGCTTGCTTGCTTGCTTGCTGCCTGCAGTTCAAAACCACCAGGGTTAGCTATTGTTTTTTTTTAGGTGAAGTGAATGTGAAGGAGACTCTTCTTTTTCCACAATAATAACCTTCTTTTTATTTTTATTTTTTATTTTTTATTTTTTTATTTTTTACTTTGGCCATTGAAAATTTTATACTTGAAATATAATGGATCAAAATGAGAACAAAAAAAATTAATGGTCAAAGTGTAAAAATAGTCAAACATAATGAGGGCAAATATAGTGATTCTGGTTTAGACTCGATCCACTTGATGTTCTGGATCTGTGTTTTATTTTTTTATATGGTTGTTCATGTCTTATTTCTCATTATTTCTCATTGAATTTGGTAATTGGAGTGCCTTGGTTACATTTGAAACAGGTTGGTAGCTTGTGTTTCAAAACTGTTGTTGCCCAGATTTTGGCTTATTTACTCGAGCGACATTTCTTGAGCTCGAGTGGTCTTTGTAAACTTTAAGTACTTTTGTACGTCTGCAAAACTACTAGGAGGTAGCATTCTTCGCTTGAGCGGTTATTCTTGCGCTCAAATGGTGTTGGCTCGAGCGATCCTCCTTGAGATCGAGCGATGGTCCTCTATCTGTAAAACTTTTGGGAGTTGGTATTCTTCGCTCGAGCGGCCACTTTGTGTGCTCAAGTGGTCCCACCTATTATGCATGGTCGTTCAAGCGATCATTCTTACGCTCAAGCAGTCTGCGCGTATATGAATCTGTAAAGTCACATATTTTATTCACTTTTTCATCTCTCTCTAAATTTTATAAAACCCTAAGTTGAGACCCTTTCTCTCTAAAACTCACATTCTCTTTACAAATACACTTTGTTAGACTTATTTATTTTGATGATTTATTTAATTATGTTTTAATTTATTTGAAAGAGAAAAATAGAATCCAAAATTTATTTTGATGATTTATTTAATTATATTTTAATCAAAATTTATTTTGATGATTTATTTAAATGAGAAAAATAGAATCAAAATTTATTTTGATGATTTATTTCTCACCTAAACCTTTATCCTAAATGTTGTTAGAATATATTTAATATTTAATTAAATCAGGAGTTCAAACAGCTCAAAACAAACGTTCAAACAGCCTAGTACAGCAGCATGCCAAAAAGTTCAAGTGGAAGATATTCAAATTAGTAATGATGGAAGTACAACGACTATAAACAGCTATAAAGGTTCAAAAGGCCAAAAGGAAAGATATTCAAATTTGTAATGATGGAGTGGAAGATATTCAAATTGGTAATTATGGAAGTACAACGGCTATAAACGGCTATAAATTCAAATAAATACAACGGCTATAAACGACTATAATTTTCATTATATATACCAAAGCCTCTAATGTAAACAAATTACAAAAAACCTGAAAATATTCTTTGATCTATAATCACTCACATCTTTTCTCAGAAATTATACACTGAGCCTAATAGCTTTAAACCCATTTTTCCTGTGTGAGATTTACAGAAAAATCAAAATTTCATTTTATACATCTATCTTTGAGAGATATTTATTGTAAATTTTCTTTGAAAGCAAAAATACCATTGCATCTTGTAAAAGTGTTTCAAATACTGTGTTCTTGAAATCTTGAGAGTGATTGTGAATCACCTAAGATTTGCAACAAATTACAAAAAACCTGAAAATATTCTTTGATCTATAATCACTCACATCTTTTCTCAGAAATTATACACTGAGCTTAATAGCTTTAAACCCCTTTTTCCTGTGTGAGATTTACAGAAAAATCAAAACTTCATTTTATATCTATCTTTGAGAGATATTTATTGTAAGCTTTCTTTTAAAGTAAAAATACCATTTCATCTTGTAAAAGTGTTGCAAACACTATGTTCTTGAAATCTTGAGAGTAATTGTGAATCACCTAAGATTTGCAAAGGTTTGGGTTTGTGAAGTCTGTGTAAAATCCATGGAGGATTGCTCCATTTGTAAAGAGGTTGCTAGCACCCCTGTGAAGCTAGAGTATAGTGGAAAATCTCAAGTGAAGCTTGAGGAGTGGACGTAGGCTGAGTTGAAGCCGAATTACTATAAATTTGTTTGTCTCTCTCTCCCTTATCTCTTTATTTTATTTTAAATTGCCATAGCTATATTTCACATTTTTACTATGCTAAAATCATTAACTGACATAGTTGTCAAGACAATTGTTTTAATTATTTTTATTTCATTAATTATATTTGTCTATTGTGCTAGTCATAATTTTTATTAAGGTATTATTAATTTTAATTATAAAAACCTAATTCACCCTCCCTCTTAGGTTATTTTTTGGGTAATAATTGGTATCAGAGCCTAGACCTTTGCTTTAGATTTAACCATCTGAGAGTTTCGATCCAGCAACCTTAGCTACCACTAGCATTACTGAAGGACAAGCCATCAATAGGCCACCATTATTTGACGGAAACAACTATTGTCATTGGAAAGATAAGATGACCCCATACATACAAGCCACTGATTATGTTATGTAGATTATTGTCACCAAAGGTCCAAAAATTCCTACCAAATTAGTAAACAATGTTAGTGTATCTAAAACTGAAGATGAATGTGATGAGAGGGATCACAAATTATTAAAAGCCAATACTAAAGCCAAACTCACCATTGTTTGTGGATTAGACTCTAAGGAGTATAATAGAATTTCAAGTTGTGATTCGGCAAAAGAAATTTGAAATTTGGGATAAACTTGAAGTAACTTATGAAGGTACAGACCAAGTAAAGGAATCTCGTATTGAAATGCTTGTTCATAGTTATGAATTGTTTAAAATGAACTCTGATGAATCTATTTCAAATATGTTTACTATATTTACTGAAATTATAAATTCTTTGAAATCTCTTAGCAAAACTTATACTAACAGTGAGTTGGTAAGAAAATTTTTTAGGTGTTTACCAAAGAATTGGGAAGCAAAGGTCACCGCCATTATAGAAGCCAAAGATCTCTCCACACTTAGATTGGATGAGCTTATGGGTTCCCTTATGACTCATGAGATCACCATGAAAGGGTATGAGGATGTTGAAAACAAAAAGAAAAGTAGAATTGCATTCAAAGCCTCATCAAATGAAAAAGAACATAAAAACTCTAGTGAGGATGAAAGATATGCCATGTTTAGTAGAAATCTCAAAAAACACTTCAAGAAAAACAATTATGGAGGAAGAAGACCTTTCAAGAAAGAGTACAACAAAGATAACAAGAAAGAGCCTATTATTTGCTATGAGTGCAAAAATACTGGACATATGAAGATGGATTGTCCAAAATTGAAGAATCATGGAAAAGACTACAAAATAAACAAAAAGGCCATGGTAGCAGCTTGGGGAGAAAGTGATGATGAAAGCTCAAGTGATGAAGTTGAAAATGAAGTAGCCAACTTATGTCTCATAGCTCTTGAAGATGAAGACTCTACTCAAGATGAGGTTTGCTTTAAGTCCAAAGCTAAAGAAGGGAAGTAGTACCTTAATAGTGGATGTTCCAGACACATGACTGGAGATAAATCATTATTTACTAAACTATCATCGAAAGAAGGAGGACTTGTTACTTTTGGAGACAACAAGAAAGGAAAATCATCGGTATTGGTAGCATCGGTATTTCTCCTAACCCTTCTATTGAAAATGTTTTACTTGTTGATGTACTTAACCATGACCTATTTAGTATTAGCCAATTATGTGATAAAGGTAATCGAGTTATTTTTGATAAATCACATTGCACAATTGAAAGCACAAATGATCATAAAGCTTTAATCGTTGGTAATCGCCATGATAATGTTTATGTTTTTTACCTTAATGATCTCTAGGCTAGTGATGTTAAATGTTTATATGTTAATAATGAAAATAGTTGGGTATGGCATAGAAGACTTGGTCATACTCATATGGATTTAATTGCTAAACTTTTGAGAAAAGATTTGGTCATTGGACTTCCAAAAATTAAACTTGAAAAAGATAATCTTTGTAGTGCTTGTCAACAAGGAAAACAAACTAAAACATCATTTAAATCAAAATCTCATATTTCCACAACTAGACCTTTACAACTATTACATATGGATTTATTTGGTCCCTCAAGGACATCTAGTCTAGATGATAAACGTTATTGTCTTGTTATTGTTGATGATTATTCAAGATTTACATGGGTTATGTTTTTAGCATACAAAGATGAAACCTTTTCTTCTTTTACAAAACTATGTCGTAGAATTCAAAATGAAAAAGGCTTTTTTATTACTAATATTTGAACCGACCATAGTAGGGAACTTGAAAATGAGAAGTTTGAATTGTTTTGTGATGAGTATGGTATTGGACATAATTTTTCAGCACCTAGAACCCCTCAACAAAATGGTGTAGTAGAAAGGAAGAATAGAACTTTAAAAGAGATGAGTAGAACAATACTTTGTGAAAATAATCTTCCTAAATATTTTTGGGCCGAAGCCATTCACACCGCATGCTATATTTAAATCGTGCATTAATTAGACATATTCTCAAAAAGACTCCTTATGAACTTTGGCATGATAGAAAGCCCAACATTAGTCACTTGCATGTTTTTGGTTATAAATGTTTTGTGCATAATAATGGTAAGGATAACTTAAGTAAATTTGATTCAAAATCTGATGAAGCAATCTTCCTTGGCTATTCCTTAATTGGCAAAGCTCATCGTGTTTTTAATAAAAGAACTCTTGTTGTGGAAGAATATATACATGTGACATTTGATGAAACTAACATCTCTGCTCAAAAGTAAATTGTTAGTGATAATATAGATTTAGAACCAAATGTGAAAGATTCAAGTATCTACAAAGAAGAGAACCAACCATGTAAGTTGAACAAAGAAATTAAACAACCTATTCGCCCACCTCAAGAAGGAGGAGGAAACAATGATGATTTACTAAGAGAATGGAAGTTTGTTCATATTCACCCTAAGGATTTAATCCTAGGTGACCCTACAAAAGGTATCAAAACTCGCTCTTCACTTAGAAACATTTGTAATAACCTGGCTTTTCTCTCA